TTTGGTTGCAAGCCTTAGTTCATTTTGAGCCTTAGCTTTCTTCACTTCGTCTTTGCAGGCTCGGGCTATTTGCTGATATTCTGATTATGTGTCCCTCTTTCCACTTTCTATATTTGTCCTTTTTATCTTTCAATTGATCAGAGAGTTCTTTATGCAGCCATGCTGGTTTCTTTTGAGAGCTGTTATTTTTCCTCTTTGTTGGTATTGTGCTAGACTGGGCCTTTATTATCTCACTTTTCAAAATTTCCCAAGCCTCTTGAGTTGTTTTCCCCTGGAGGATTCTCATCCATGGAATCCTTCCCAAACCCTCTCTAAGTTTATTGAAATTAGCTCTCTTGAAGTCCAAGACTCTAGTTTGATTGTGTTCTATTGCTTGTGCTTCCATAATGTTGAATTCCAAATAAATACAAATAAATATTTTATTATACTTCCATATTTCTAAAGGTTATCTCTGACAATTATGCATTATGCACCATTATGATACATTTGCATTTATCTGGCTTACCATTTCATGTTATTGATAATAATTGCATTTCAGATCCTTTCATTTAAAGCAGAAAATAAACTGAAATAGAAATAAGACCTTTTAAAACAAAAAAAAGTCCTGTTTTCTTTTCTAACATTTGCTTAGATACTGGTGGGAAGAGAATCATTATATTGGAAGATAGCTATGCAGACAAAGATGGTGAATAGAAGAACATTAAAGAGCAAAGAAAAAAAACTTCAGAGGACATTTAGCTAAGAAAGATATTTTTTAAAAAAGCCATTCTTCCTAGAAAGGAAGCAAAGTGTATTGCCTTATTCCAGTGATGGCGAACCTTTTAGAGACCGAGTGCCCAAAAACTGGCCCTGCCCCCACTCCATCCCTCTGCTCCGCTCCCACTCCACTCCCCCATCCCTCCCGCCTGCCCACAGGACCACTCACCGCCTCCAGGGCCCGCCGCAGATTGCCCAGGCAGCCCAGCAGCGCTATGGCGGCCACATCCTCTGCCCGCACCCTGCAGCATCAACTGCATGATGGGGTGTGAGGGTAGAGTCTTGTCTGCGCTACCTGGCTGCCATGTCCTTGGCTGCGCTGTTCCATGTGGGCTACGCTCGAGGGCAACTCTCCTTCAGGGGGGCTGATGGAGAGGAGGGGGTCGCAGGAGGAGGCAAGGCTGGGGCAATGACACGTGTGCCCACAGAGAGGGCTCCGAGTGCCGCCTCTGGCACCTGTGCCATAGGTTCGCCACCACTGACATATAAACTAGGCCACGGGTGTCAAACTTGTTACGTCACGTGATGTGTTGTGATGTATCATGACTTTTTTCCCATTGCTAGCAATGGGGTGGGCGCAGTTTTGGCATGACACATCTGGTCCACAGGCCGGCAGTTTGACATCCCTGATCTAGGCTGTTTATTCCCTTCCTAGGCTTTTGATTCTGTCTTTTAAATGGTATGCAAAGACGTTTATTTCTGTGTGTCCACTGATACCTGATTTGTCTGAAAGCCAAGCTACCACAAATTCCTTAGCGGTTTTAGATTTGGCTTGATCTCTAAATTTCTGATTGAAACTGTGGTTGAGCCTATATGTTGCAGAAATGGAGTTTTCATTATGTTTTTCTGTTGCCAGATAATGTTTATGGATACAGTCTTGGCAATCTTCTACCTTTCTGTCCCATGTAGTGATTGTTACAGTATTGCATTGTTACATTGTATGGGGGAAATTACTCCTGTTTTTTCTTCTTTGAGATTGGGTTTCTGTATTTCTTAAGGCATAAGCAATATTCTTGTTTCAGTACTATGTGCAAGTAGATGAAAATATAGATTGAAATGTATGTAAGAGCATCCTTTTTAAAAAAAATTCTCTTCCTCTCCTTTCCTTTCCTTTCCTTTCCACATTCTGAGAATCACTCCCACTTATTGGAAGAGAATATGACTTTCTCTTTCAAAATGCTAATTAGGAAATCCTGAAAGTTAAACCTCCTGAGGTCTTATTATCCAGCCAATTTCACGCATGCATGTTGAGTTCAGTTGAAACAGGAATGTGCAAAATGATGTGGAAATTGGAACCATGGAGTTTCATGGCTACAGTGTAGCGTACTTTCCATTTGAACAGTGAATGCCTTTTCATTCTTTAAACTAGAAACCTCTCTTTGAAATCAGTAGGATTGGTGAGGCTGTGAAAATAGCACAGGCTTAATACATTTTTTCTTCTTACCTATTATCAGATTTTAAATTTTGCTGATTGAAATAATTCGATAGGATGTATAGATAGATTGCAATCATCAACAATTGGTTTCATTTTGGTTAGATAGATAAGTAACATCATATATGCTGGTCAGACTGCAGCCAGTATAAACCATTAGTAAAAATATTGATTTCTTTATCTTAGGAGTAGTAAAAATTTGAGATTTTACTTGCAAAATAATTCTTATTCTTGTAGCATACAGTATGTGACCAAAAATTGATTCATGTATATATTTTTTAAAACATACGATCAGATCCCTTTCCCTTCCCTTCTTAATAGCATTTATTATAGTTTACAAAGGTCTTTGGTCTGATGAATTGATCCATTTGATCTGTTCCTGCTTTTAATGTTTGTTTAATTGTTTATTGTAAAGACCACCATTGGTATGCATATACTGTTTTATATTTAATGACTATTCTAGTTGTACAGGTAGTCCTTGACTAACAGTCATTCATTTAGTGATTGTTCAAAATTACAATGGCATTCAAAAAAGTAACTTACAACTATTCCTCACGCTTAATGATCGTTGCAGTATCCCCATGATTATGTGATCAAAATTTGGGTGCTTGGCAACCAGACTGTATTTATGACTGTGGCAGCATTCTGAAGTCATGTGATCCCCATTTGCAACCTTTTGCACCTGGCTTCTGACAAGCAAAGTCAGTGGGGGAAGCCAGTTTCACTTAACAACAACTTTACTGCAGCAATTCACTTAACAACCAGGTCAAAAAAGGTTGTAAAATTAGGTGCGAGTCACTAAACAACCACCTTGCTTAGCAACCGAAATTTTGATCTCAATTGTGATCATAACTTGAGGACTACCTGTATTTTCAATTTTGGTCAAAGCAAAGTAGAATACAGAATATAGGTGTAATCAGAACAACAGTATACTTTACAGTTAATAACTTAGAAAGTAAAAATATTTTGGAAAGTTAAGACATTTAAGAGCAAATTAGGAATGTGGGTATGATGAATGCAAAGAAAGTTTGCTGGAAAGGTAAAAAGTAACAGGATTTGGTTAATATAAGTTAGATTTATTTTATTTTATGTCATCTTTAATTTCTTTGGCTTTCTATTCTTCCTAACTTTCTGTGCTTTGAATAACTTCGTTAGTTGAAAAGGAATAGGATATTTTTATGTTTTCAGAAGTATGGATACAATTGGGATTTTATTTTATTTTAATGGTGTTAAAATATGGATTATGCTATGATATCTAGGTATTTTTCATTCAAAGTGGCTAGAAATTCTACTGATTTTCAGCAATCAAAATACCTCATTTTCACAAGAGAGCCAGTTTGATGTTGTGGTTAAGATGCTGGTCTTAAAACCAGGAGACTATAAATTCTAGCCCTCTCCCTTTAGGCATACAGGCAGCTGGGTGTGCCTTTTGATCAGTCATTCTTTCTCTCTCTCAACCAAGCCCACCTCACTGTGTTATTCTGAGGAAAAAAGGGGGAGAAAGGAACACTGCATAACATAAGTTTGCCACCTTGAGTTACTTATAAAGTAATAAAGGCAGGAGAAAAATATAATAAATAAATAAAATAAATTTCACTGACATGACAGGCTATTGTAAACAATACAGGTTGATGTAGGATCCAATCTGAGTTGGTCACCGGGAGGAGAGGTTTTGTCTTCCAAGCTTTCAGACTTATGCTGGAACCCATCCCCAGGGAACGTCTCTCTTGCAGAGTGTGTGGTATTTATAGCGCCTATTGTATGTGTCTTTTTAGATGTTGATTGGGGTGTGTTGATGGTTGGCTTTTTAATACAGGTTGATCATCGCTGCTTACTAATCTAAGTCCAGTTAAATTTAGTGGAGCTTCCTTTTGAGTGGGTGCACACAATGCCGTATTTCAAGTTATCTTGCAATGAAGTACATTACCTTTTGTAAAGTATTTAAAAAGCTGAAATCAATTTTATATGTCAGTGATGGCGAACATTTTTAGAGAGCGAGTGACTAAACTGCAACTTAAAACCTATTTAGGCATCGTTGGGTGCTGGGTGGGTGTGGCCATTGGCTGGGTGTGGCCCGTTGGCTAGGCATGGCTGTGATGGTAACGGCAGACTGGGTGGGACTAAAAAGTTCGATCAATCAATTTCAACTTTGCAAGATCTTTTTTTTTCCTGCAAGAAGTTGAAGTTGACTGATTGATTGAACCCCCCCCTTTTTTTTTTTTTTTTTGCACAAGGCGGCAGAGGCCTAAAGCGAAAAGGTTTTATACAACCCAGCTGAAGACCTAGGAATGAGGTGACCGCATGCGTGCCCACAGAGAGGGCTCTGAGTGCCGCCTCTGGCACCCATGCCATAGGTTCGCCAACACTGTTATATGTGCTGTAGCAATTCCTTTTTCAGTAGAAATTATCTCTTGTATATTGTTTTGGGAGACCCATATCCTTTTGAAGCTCATATCCATTTGAACTACATCCTGGTCATGTAGAATCTAACAAAGATATTTATAGATTGCAAAAATACTAATATAACAAAATAGAAGAGTATTCATTCATATAAATTGTGTGGTCTTCCACTTTGGACTGTCCCATATGTGGTTCTTGGTTAAATTGGGATACAGACATTAATTTGATTTTCAGAATTATAAATTTGTTTTATTTTAGTAAAATAGTTTTTATTTTAAGATTTATATATTTATCTTTAAATATTTATCTGAAACTTTGCTCTTATATTTATTGTGACTTTCTTACTGTCATAGTTTGAGCTTTATTAATAATATGCTTTAAAATTGATTATTATTTTCTTCTTTGTTTGTAGAAACTCTTCTGGATGACTTCCTTCTTACATACACAGTCTTCATGACAACAGATGACTTGTGTCAAGCTCTGCTGAGACAATATCCTTCTCTGTAGAAGAATAGGGAACCAGTCACTCAGGCCTCATTGTTTCTAATGATCTTTATAAGTTACATATAAGGCAAATTTGCCCCTATTAATGAGAATTTATTAATCATTGCAGTAGATATGTCTATGCTTATATCTCAGTTTTCATAGATGGAAAGACAGATTTAGGATTATAAAATAATTTACTTCCATTCCCAATAAAAACCGGTAATAATAGGCTCTTTTAATCGATGATACCACTTCCTTTAATCAGCTTACAGGGATATAGTACAGCTATTACTTTAATTTTCAGCATAGCCTAATAGCATTTGAGAATTTCACTGGCAGTGCTATATGAAGTATAGTTTTAGTTTAATAATTTGAGATCACTGGTTATATTCAGAAATTATTTATTAATCAAATTTATATGCCACCCATCTCACTGTATAAGTCATTCTGAATGGCTTATACTGATTCTCAGCGGCTTACAATTATATTTAATTATGTTTGTGTTTTATTTATTGTTATAATTTCTGTACTAAAAGAAAAAAATAAGATAACCTAGATGATTACTTAATTCTGTTGTAATATTTGGGAAATTGCAATCCCTTGCAATGTTTTCTTTATCCAGATATAAGATGGGAACCTTCTATCCTGATCTTGGAAGATGGAATAGAAATGTAAAAAAAAGTATTAATAAATGTAGTAACTATAAATAAAAGATGGGGAAAATAGAACAAGTTTAGAATTTATTTTTAAAAAATATGTAAATGAGAAATGCTACTATCTTTTGTATTTTAACCTTACCTTAACCTTTACATAGTTCCTTCCATCCATTACTTAGTATGTAAGAAAGAAATTTTGTTGTATACTAAATTTTACCTTCTGTTAAGAGACACTTTCACATTCAGTATTACTTAGTATATAACAATGTTTTAAAATTATTACTGAATAAACCTTACATACAAATGAACATTTGATTTTTTTCATTATATTTTAAAGTTTCATCAGAATTAAAGCTGCTTACATAAATTGCAAAAATTGTATATTCAGACAACAGTGAAAATTTTTGTTGTTTTTGAGATTTCACCTTAATTTATCTCCACTTATTGTGCTAAGAACCATCAAGACAAGGATGAAATTGTTGATGTTCCCTGTAGAAAGCGAAAAGTCTTGCATTTGGTGTCACAGTGGACTTCACTCTACAAAGATTGGTTGCATGAAGATGAGCATTTGAAGCAATTTCTTAAGGTATGTTTATCTAGATATTTTCTGTACAATACAGTAATTATAATTTTTTTAAAAAAATCCAAAAATGTACCTTAATCTCTGCAACCTGTAATCAGTGTTGGGATTCAAATATGTGAACAACCAGTTCTCTGTTGGATGTGCTTCCAGAAATCCATTCTGGGCCTGGGCAACAAAAAATTAGCTACCAGTTCTGCCGAACTGGCTGAATCCCACCACTTCCTGTAATGGTATATTTGAGTTACGCACACTTACTGGATATAGGATCAGCATTTATAATGTAGTATCTCCTAACATTCTCTGGGTGCTTCTAAATGAAGAGTACATAGCCTACAAATAATTGCTCTTCTGTTACGATCTAAAAGTGCACAATTAACTGTGATTCCAGAATTCAGAGGAACTGGTGTTCTAATAATGCATTTATACATTACATATGTAATGTCCATGGAGTGGTCATGAAATCCTTTACTTTTCTTAATTTTTCACAATTATATGAAAGGTGGAAAAGGGGATTGTAACCTTATATAAAAAAAGAGGATTAAGATGGAGTAATAAATCTTGACCTGTTGTGGAAAGTACATAGATGATAAAATAGTTGTCATAAAATTTAATAAATTATGTTCCATTAAATTAATAACAACTCTTAGCAACCATGTATATAGATTTTCTCCCCAAAAAAACTTTTTGTCACCAACCTGCCCACTATTATAGCCTTCCTCAGAGAGTCTCCTGAGTATTTCCTTTTGTGTTGGTAGGTGATTCTAAAAGGCGGAAGCTGTCTATCGCTTTGGTGTTTTTATTGTTAGTTGTCAGGCTGGTTTCTTACTTGATCTTCTTTATACTTAATCTGGAGCATTCAAATCACTTGTATTGTCATCATCCTAGCACAATTATTGAGTCCCTTCCTCCAATTTTAAAGCAATATTAATCTTTCTCTAATTCAGCTTCCCTCAATATATGTTTTTTTTTGTAAAAAATTTTATTTTCAACTTTATAATACATAACAATCTTACAAATACTTCAGATAAAAAATAAAACAAATTGATACAAACCACATTCGGTCTTGCCCGCCCATTTCCCCCCAAACCGCATCAATATATGTTTTGTATGTAGGTTGAATAAATGAATAAATAAAACTACACAGCAGTCTTTCACTTCTTTGCCAATTTACAGTGAGTCTTTTACACCATGATGCTTTTTGATTGTGCTTTATGTGAGAACACTGAAATGTTCTGGGATTCTCATTTTCTTAAGAACAGTTCATATCTTAGTATAGTCAATACTGAAGATCTTTCTATAATCAACAAAGCACATAATGACTATTTTTAAGTACTCTTTTGAAAGGTTTTATTTTCAGTTATTCAGCATATATCAGCAATAAGGTAACTAAGATACTGCCTTTCAAGATAACTAATATTGACTGGTGGTTGTGTCCCTTCAAGTCAGTTTTTGATTCCTGGCCACTGCCTGCACTAGTGCCTCAGTTTTCTTGGCAAGGATATCTGGAAGTGGTTTGCCATTGCCTTCTTCCTAGGGTTGAGAAAAAGTGATGGGCCCAATGCTACTGAACTCACTTCATGCCTAAAGCAGACTTGAACTCATTCTCTGCATTAAACCACTACACTACACTGGCTCTAAAAAAAACCTTTAAAAATCCTCTTTCCAACATGAAAATCTTAACATGAAACATTTGTAAAAAAAACCTTTAAAAATCCTCTTTCCAACATGAAAATCTTAACATGAAACATTTGTGAAGTATTGCTTTAACTGGATTACCGCAAAGCTGTAGCATATATTTTTTGATTCTTTCTCTTCCCCCTTTTCTCTCAACTTCTTCTTTCCTTAGACAATATATAGAAATGTGTTAGATGATGTGTATGAGTACCCTATATTGGAGAAAGACCTGAAAGAATTTCAGAAATTACTTGGAATGCATCGTCGTCAGTAAGTTTTTTATATTTCTTCCTTTAAAGAGTTATAATTAGTTTTTTTGCTAATTATAATGGTTTTTTTGTGAATAAATAATATCAAGTGGTCTGATTTTAAGTATTTAATGTTTGTATAGGCTAGCTTTGGTTTTGTATAGTTTGTAAGGGAATAACTTGAAAGAATAGGTTTGATACACAAATTATTATTGCAATCTAGTAGTCCATTCTTACTAGTAATGTAAAAAGGTTTGTTAGAGAGCTATTGGATTAGTTTTTATGTAGGCAAGAGTTTTGTGTAAACAAATGCTATAAATATTATTCCTACCAATGATTACTGTCACAACAATTGTTGTTATAGATTATTAGCTAATAACAATGTATAGTAATAAGTGATATAATTAGTCATATATAATAGTAACATAGCTAGAGTCAGTGTGGTGTATTATTAAAAGTGTTGAATTAAATGTGTGAAGATCCAACTTCTAGGCCATTAGATTCTATGCCCCTTTTTAGTGGAGATCTAAACCAATACTAAAAGCATTTTTATTAGAAAAATGAATAACATACATATTTTTTTCTTTTAGCACAGTTGATGAATATTCACCTCATAAAAAGGTAATATGAAAATATGGTAAAATTATTTGTATTCTAATTTAGTAACTTCATTTTTCTTTGCCTTTGATTCTTTTAATTAATGAAAACAAACAGCCAAAATAAATAAATAGGCAAGCTACACTTTTCTGCTGGCATTATTAAAACTGTTTGCTAATGATGTGGCTCTGCTTCCAACCATAGAAACAAAGAGAAGATGCTTGTAGCAAAATTAACGGGTAGTTTGTTTGCATGCATTGTGGAGAAGCCAAGTAATATTTCTTGCATATTGAATGCAACTGCTAGGAGTAATGACAGAAAGAAAGAGTATATTCCAGTATGTCTTTACCTGTGTAAGTAATGTATTCCCAAATTTAGAGAAATTAATGTTTAAGTGTGTTCTTGACAGAAAATTTTATTTATGTATTTATGTAGAAAATTTACATGGCCTCCCAACGCATTCCTAGTGATTTTGGATAGCTTACAAAAAAAGCCAATAAATCACTTGATAAGTTCCATATCACTTTGGGGTCCCCGGCCTATTGGCAGAACCATATCTTCAGGGTTCAAAGTCTTATCTCTACAAGGACAATGTTCTGGGGGGGAGGAGAGGGGAGCCATCAGGGAGAAGGCTTTCTGATTTCACTAGATGGAGGGGGCTCATAATATTCTGATTTCACTAGAAGAGGGGGCTCATAATATTCCCTGCTTCCTTGCACTGATGAATTGGGTAAATATGACTGGGGGAAAAACAGTCCTTCAAATAACCTGGTCCCAAGCCATGTAAGGCTTTAAAGGTGATAGTCAGCACCTTGAATTGGGCCCGGAACCAAATTAGCAGCCAGTGCAGTTCCTGCAAGAGAAGTGATACATGTGCAAATCTTGGCTTGCACAAAACCACCCCATTTTTTAATCGATTGAAACTTCTAGATACTTTTAAGGCCAACCCCATGTGGAGCACATTTGCATAGTCAAAACTGGAGGTGACTAGGGTGTGGGTAACAGTAAACAGTTTTCAAATATGAATTCAGTCATTCCAGAACTTGCTCCCAGTTACCTCTTATTTGGATTACTGTAACACTCTCTACATGGGACTGCCCTTAATGAGTATTTGGAATATTCAACTGGTCAAATTGAGACTGGTCAAATTGAGACACAAGTACGGTAGTTAATGGTGCCAGTTATGCAGCATGATTAAAATCACTACTATGGGAGTTGCATTGGCTGCTCTCGTGTTTCCAGATGCAATTCAAAGTGTTGGTTCTCACCATTAAAATGGTACATAGCTTGGGAGTGAGTATGTAAGGGAATGTCTTCTCCCAATAGTTTCTACCCATCCAACTCAATATAATAGGTTGATTGTAGGTCCCATCAGCCAAAAAATGTTGGCTGGTAGAGTCCAGGAGTTATATCTTCTTGGCAGTAGCTCATGCTCTTAAACATCCTTCCTTTGGAATTTAGGATGGCCCTGACTATGTTAGTCTTTTGAAAGGCTTTAAAGATCTGACTATGTGCCCGAATCTGGGTTCCCAAATGTGTTAGGACATGGGTGTTAAACTCGCTGTGTCATGTGATGTGTCGCGATGTATTGCGACTTTTTTCGCATTGCCAGAGCTGGGGTGGCGCAGCCTCCGCATGATGCAACTGGCCTGTGGGCTGGCACTATGACACCCTTGTGTTAGGGGTTTTATTATCTGGTTGCATTAGTAATTTTTATGTAGTTACCAAGATAATTTTCTGTTGCCTATACATGCAATTTGTAACCATTTTTTTATTTTATGCTTTTAATTATTGTGACATTACCTGCCTGCAGTAAATTAGATTGAGATGGGCAGCAACAGAAATTGAATGAATGAATAAATAATAAAATAAAAGTATCAGAAGCAGAAAATAAAGTTTCAGTAATGTTTTCTTAAAATTTGTGTGTGTGTGTGTGTATTCATCTTCACATCTCCTGTTTTCCATGAATAGAATATGAATTTCCATGAATAGTTTATTTTGACAAACTGTTCATAGACTTTTTTCTTTGATTCCTTTTTTTAAAACATCCAATAATTTTGGCATTTTTTAAAATTCTATAGCATAAAGCCATTTTACATCAATACAGCCTCAAGCAGAACTGGCTTCAGACCAGAGAACCTGTGAATGAAACAGAAGAAGGTAAGTATGAATAAAACACAAAAAGAAATAAATATTGTATTAAGAGCATCTGCTGTTTCGATGGTAAGGACCTGATTCCTATTCCAACTTTTCCCTCCTCCTTCTAGCACAATGTCCTTGTAGAGTCAAATGGATTCTGTTAAATTCCAGGGTTGTGACCTTGTTTCTCCACAACCTGGTGGGTGAAGGAGAAAAAGCAGACATGACCAGTATAATTGGAAACTGGTTTGGGTTGGATAATGATGAAAGAATGCCTTTACCTCAAATCTCCCCAATTGGATTTTGGATGGTGCACCAATCTTGACTACATAATGGGAGGAGCATGGGAATTCTTCAAGAATTTGTTCATTTCTGCTTTGACAACTATGGGGTTTTCCCAAGGCACACAACTTAACATTGAGAGCCACACACTTGATACAGTTTTAATCTTGGAACAATGATTTGTAAGTGGAGGACATTAATAACTGTGCTGTATCATAGTTTGTCTGGGAAGATAATCCTGTTAGATTGGTCTGTCTCAGGCAACTTATGGATTCACTTGGCTTCCAACAAGCCCTTGGAGAGTTTTCCAGTGCCTTATAGTTGTTTCCATATGGCCTCTGCTAGTTTGCTTGTATTTAAATGCAAAGTGTTGCCACTTTGCAGTTTCAGACCATCTAAATTCTTGCAATACTTCATTGGCTTCAAAGAAAGAATTAAGAATATAACAGTTAATACTGTTTTTGTCCAAGTACTTTTAAACATGTATTTGTCTAAATTGTCAAATTACAATTATCTCAAAATTATAAGTGTTATGCATGATCTGTGATCAAACTTAAACTTCCACTCTAAAATCTTCCAAATGTATCTTTCAGTCACGAAAGAAACAATATTTTAAAATTTCCAACATTCTGTTACGTCCATCAACAAATGTACAGTATTGGACTTGCTTCACTTAATTGAATAATGTGAGAATTTAAGAAATTTGTACCATACCCTGAAATTTAGGTTAACTGTCTTTACTATTATTAGTGTTATGGGTGTTATATTTACCTTTTATGCAACTCTATCATTCACCTCTATTGTATTTGTTTCCTGAGTCACATTGCTAATCTATGATTCATCTCTGTTGTTCCTGTGATGCATTTCCTGTTCCTGTTGTTTCTGTATTCCCTCTCTCTAAGAAAGATGGCTTTTGCACAGTGATTCCTTGTATTGTATTTACTGACTCGTCATGAAACATGGTGTCAGAAGTGGGACAATTGCTAACAAAGTCTTTGATTTTGCCTTGCATGTTAGGCCAATAAAGAGTATCACAAGCTTGTTGTAGCAGGCCTCACCCCCATTGTGGCTTGAGTATATGCGCAATAACATCTCTGCTCTCAGTGACTTTGGCACTATGACTCTTGGGCCCTTGTACAAGATACCATCTTGTATGCTGATCTCCTCTCTGAAGGACCAATATTCCCTCACAATTGCAGGAACTGCCTCCTTTTCATCTGGCCACCCACTCAGAACGATACTTTTATTACCTGTAAAGTTGCATCAGTGTCTATGTGTTGCTTGAGCTGACGTAGCCATTGATTTGTGACTGTGTCAATCAAGTCTGCTTGATTGACTTCAGCAAAGAAGGTTTGTTCCTGTTGCAACCAACAAACCGTATGATGCTTGTGCTCTCCTTCAGGTGTCATCTGATCTGATGTAGCCCTGCTCAGGGTATCACTGATATACATTTCACATCCTTGGCAGATTGTCAGTATAGATTGTCAGTATAGAACTATGCAGTAAAAGAGTGCCTGATACTAGGTGATCATTATTCAGACTTTTGGGAAATTGAACTTCTTCCTGACTTGTCTGCTGAAACTACCATTAAGAGATGCAAGGCTCAGTTTGCACATTATGGCCAACCAGATAAAGCGATCTTGGTTAATGGTCCTCAGTTTGCAAGCCTACAATTTAGGAAATTTGCCGCTGAGTGGGAGTTTGAGGATGTAACTTCCTCACTACATCATCCACAAGTTAATGGCAAAGCTGAATCAGCGGTGAAGATTGGTTAAAAATTTATGCAAGAAGGTGCAAAGTGATGGTAAAGAGTCATGGAAGGCCATTTTACATTGGGGAAATACTCCAACCAAGGGCATGGACAGTAGTCTGGCACAGAGATTGATATCAAGGAGACTGAAGATCTCCTTACCAATGACAAATAACTTGCTTGAGCCCTCTGTGAGGTGTCCCAGAAAAGTTACGGCTTAAGAAACAAGTATTCAAGGCAAAATATGACAAATCAGCCAGAGATTTGCCAGATTTGAATATTGGAGAATGAGTTTGTATGAAACCATTACCTGGAGATCGAAAATGGAAAATGGGTATCTGTTTACAACAGGTGGCACCACGCTCCTATCTAGTGGACATCTAGTGGAACTCTCTCTCATCACAATTGTGTGGATCTGCATGCAACTGAGAAGCCTGATCTGCAGCCGACAAGCCTGATTCATGTGGTATTACCGGGCCACACTTACCCACTGGCAATAGGAAATGCACAGTATTGATGCCAAAGACCAATGCTAATAACAGTCCTGAGCGAGCCAGCCAGTGGTGGGATTCAGCCAGTTCACACCAGTTTGGCAGAACCGGTAGCTAATTTTTTGTTGCCCAGATCCAGAATGGACTTCTGGAAGTGGCATCCACACAGAGAACTGGTTGTTCACATATTTGAATCCCACTACTAGAGCCAGCATACCTGACAGCAGTCAAACGCAGAATGTCCAAGTAAGTGGTGAGAATTGCCCAGCAACTTCAGTGAGATCAGAGAAAATCTTAGTACAAAGAGGGACAGACTTCACCCATAGTGGCAGATGTTCACAACCATCCGACAGACTCAACCTATAGGAAGTGTTACTGGTTCTCATCCAAAATTTCATAACGTTGTTAACATGAAAAAAGAAGATGTTATGGGTCTTACGTTCACCTTATATGCAGCTCTATCATTCATCTCTATTGTATTTGTTTCCTGTGTCACATTGCTACTGTCAAACCGTCCTTCGTCATCCTGTGGAAGCAGAGGCCAGGAACGCAGGTACAAGGTGACATGCAAGATTTATTTTGTGCGAAAAGAAATCATTACCCGGGAATTCGTTTTAATGGCTGGAATCCTGGGAGAGGTTGAACTGGAGAGGGCCAAGACCTGGTTGCGGTCCATACTGATAATGAACCTGGAGTCTCAGCCGGTCATTTTCGAGGATGTCAGGAGACAGGTCTTGGCCACGGGAGGGAGGAAACTGCCGCAGGAGCTCTGTGTCCTGATCGACAAAGTGAGTGCCGTTGACATCAGGCGGGTGGCGATGAAGATGTTGCTGAAGAGGCCGGCAATAGCTGCCCTGGGGGACCTGCAGGAGCTGCCCAGCTATGAGCACCTCCACCCCACCCTTGTCAGCAAGGACGGGTGCCTTCCCAGGGTGTACCGGCTGTTCCGTTAAGGTTGCAGCTTCTCCACCCAGAGCTTTGGTTGAGAAGACCCGTTGCTTGCCAAGTGCTTCTTATCTGCCAAGAGGGCAGCTTGCCACGCACACTGGATATCGGAGGAAGGTGGTTGCCAGAGCCATTTCCATGTCTGTTCAAATTCTGTTCAGCTTTAAAATAACTTATTTTGTGAGACTCAAACTAAATGAGAAGATGGAGGCCGGACGGTTGAAGAGAGTTGCTCAAATTACTATTTTGGTATTTCAAATTCCTGTCCTTGTTGATTTGTCTTGAATTAAGGGACAGAAAGTCAGCACTGGGAGTGGTTTACTCCCAGTGCTTTACATAGGGATTCCCCGCCCTACAACCCCGCCCCAAGCAGCAAGCCAGCATCCAGCTTGTAAACGTAAAAGCCCCCAGTTCCTTTTCCGGCCTTTCCCCTGCAAGTCCTTGCATTGCCGTTGCTCTTGCAGCCGTTCCAGCCGTGCCTTTGTTAAGTGCTTTCTTCAGGCTACAGGGCTGAACTTCCTGGCTGCTAGCGTCCTCCCCTGGCCCTCTGCTGCATTCAGTGGTGTCCGGTGCCGTCTCTGATGCCCAGATGCTCATCCTAGCTGTTGGCTTCCTCCCCCAACTTCCTGCAGCTGTCTGGTGGCATCTCCAGCACTGCTCTGTTGTGTCCAGCAACTGGCTTCCCTCCCAGCTGCTGGCAATGCTCCGTGGGAGGGAGGCGGCATCCCTGACGCTCAGCCGGCTGTCCGAAGGTCAGCCGACATGCCAGGGTTGGTTGTTTATGGCAACAGCACTCCGCCGAGGGTAGATGCCACTCCTGGCGCCCAGCTAACTGTCCGACCACCAGCTGATGCGCCAGGGATGGTGGCGTGTGGCAGCAGCCTTCCACAGAGGAGAGGGGGCACTCCCGAACCCCAGCTGATCATCCAACGATCAGCTGGGGTGCTGGAGACAGATGGCGTCCACCAGCTCGGCTGGCTGCTTCTGTCCACCCCCCCCCCATCGGTGAGTGTCAAGCCCGCAGGGTTTGACAGCTACTCTATGATTCATCTCTATTGTTCCTGTGATGCATTTCCTATTCCTGTTGTAGTCCCTCTCTCTAAGAAAGATGGCTTTTGCACAGTGATGCCTTGTATTTTGTTTACTGACTCCACGTGAAACAATTAGTAAGGCTCAACATTCTCCTGCATATAATAATTTACCTGTTGCTATCTTTAAAATCAATAGGCCAGTAGTTTCAAATCTAAATTAAATATAAGAGAGGTTAAAAGATGTCTTTGACAAGGTTCACAAAATATGGATGAAGTAATAACTCCTTTTATAATGCAGTCATTTGAAAAAAAAGGTACACTCTTTTTGAATATTATGCTTTTACATATCAGGACATAATAAAAATCATTTGAGTCACAGCAATTCTTAAAAGTGGGTAAATACAACCTTAAGTGAACAACACACAATGACATATAACATGATGACATATTACACTAGATCAATGTTTCCCAAACTTGACAATTTTAAGGCATGAGGACTTCAACTCCCAGAATTCCACAGCCAGCAACGCTGGCTGTGGAATTCTGGGAGTTGAAGTCCACATGCCTTAAAATTGTCAAGTTTGGGAAACACTGCACTAGATCATAATTTATTTTATAGAAATTACAGCTACTCTGATCTTTAAGCGGATTCATTTTTCCAAATCCAAATCCTATAGTAACTGTAATTTCTTTTATCAAAGAATGACTTTGATAATGACAAAGCCATCTAAAACAATGCAATCATTAAAGTTTTTTCACTTTTCAATAAGAATTTCTTTTATTGATGAAAATGATTTTTCCTCTCTCTTCACAGTTTTTTGCCGTGTGTATATAACAGAACATTCTTACATCAGTGTAAAAACTAAATTATCCACTTCAGTTCAAGAGATGTTGAAAATTGTAGCAGAGAAGCTCCAACATTCTCAGGAAGATCTGGCTCTAGTGGCTCTTTCATTCTCTGACGGTAAATGATCCACAGCTATTAATATTTTAATAGTATTTTTGGTTTCTTATCTGAAAATTATTTTCTAGTGCAGATGTAGGTCTCCTCCTGTGGGTCCATGGCTTGATGACCAAAGTTACAATAAAGAACTTTTAAGCAGAAAGTAGTTTCCATGACAACTACTAATACTTTAGTTCTGCTGTATAATACATTCCACTTCATTTCTACATTGAAAAGGATTTTATTTCTTCAGAAACATGTTGTAAGTTTTGCAATTAGAGATAGACAGGCAGATCATAATTTAAAACTACCTATATAACAAAAATGCACTCTGCAAAATGGATTCCTACCTTGAAGCAATCAAATGGTATTTAGATATGAAGGCAAATTGTGGGGAAATATTACTTTCAGAAAATGAATGTTTTCTAAAATAAAGATAGTCCTTGACTTACGACCACAATTGAACCCAAAATTTCTGTTTCTAAGTAAGAAATTTGGTTTTGCCTCATTTTGCAACCTTTCTTGTCACAGTTGAATCACTGCAGTTCTTAAGTTAGTAACATGGTTATTAAGTGAATTTGGCTTCCCCATTGACTTGGCTTGTTGTAAGGTTGCAAAAGGTGATCACATGACCCGGGACACTGCAACTGTCATAAACATGTGACCATGGGGATGCTACAACGATCATAAGTGTGAAAAATGGTCATAAGTCACTTTTTCAGTGCTCTTGAAACTTTGAACAGACCATTAAATGAACTGTTGTAAGTCGAGGACTATCTTGACTTTTTTTTTAAAAAGTAAATCCTTAATTCAGAGTTTGGATATCAGTGTGTAAAAATAAATGATATGTTCCATTAAAAAAAAAGTCAAGTTGTTTGCTTGTTGAAATAAATTATACTGCTTAGAGATGCCCAGTCTTGATTTATTGATCATCTTGGTCCCAATGTTATGGGTTCAAAAAAGGCGATAGCTGAAAATGTGATATGGTTAATCAAAATACTGCTGGTGCAATTTATTATATGAACTATTTTTATTACCCTGCAAACATTGTAAATTCTTTTCTTTCTGCTAAGAAACATTCTTTATAACTATCCAAGGTATTTGTATTTTCCAACTCCAAGTCCAGCAGTCTTGGGTAGTACAAAAATTACATTCTGTTCTTAAGTCAGCATTTGACTTTACCAACCTAGGGAATTGTTAAATAAAAAGTTGAGAATAAAATTTCAGTCCTGTGCAGCCCTATGAAGATACTAGATTTTAGTTTAAAAATATGTTTTAATTTGTTACTATGATTCTTTTCCCTACTCTTAAAGAAAAACATGAATTGCAACCAAATGATGTAGCAATCTCCAAATCTCTTGAGTTATCTGCTCGTATGTTTGTATTTCAAAAGGATCTGACAGATACTTTGGTAAGTTTTTGTGGTTCTTGTTTTTAGGTGGCTTGAAGTTTTAAACTGTATTAACTGTATTACTCTGCTATAAACTCAACATGAAAAGAGGCTAGGGAAATCATTAACTAGGCCCATGGTGGCAAACCTATGGCATGTGTGCCACAGGTGGCACGCAGAGCCCTCTCTGTGGGCATGTGTGTTGTTGCCCCAGTCCTAGGCCTTCGGCTGGGTTTTATAAAACCTTTTCACTTTAGGTCTCCACCGCCATGTGCAACAAAAAAAAAAAGTTCAATCAATTTCAACTTCTTGCGGGAAAAAAAAAATCTTGCAAAGTTGGAATTGATTGATTGAACTTTTTAGTCCCACCAAGTCTACTGTTACCACCGCAGCCACACCCACCCAATGTGCCATGCCCACCCAATTGGCCACCCAACGATACATACTGTAAGTGGGTTTTGAGTTGCAATTTGGGCACTCGGTCTCTAAAAGGTTCGCCATCACTGAACTAGGCCATTTCTCCCTACCCTATGACTACTCCAGGTATATGGACTTCTTGCTGGCATTAGGAGAGCCGCAAGCCTCTTGCTGGCATTAGGAGAGCCACGAGCCGCATGCCAGCCCTAACAGCCTCATTTGTGGAGCGTGCATGCTCACGGACCTGTTCACGCGCATGTGCACGCAGCAACATTTGCGTGGATGCACATGCGTGCATAAAGGTTCCTGTCCCGCCCTTTCCCACTGAGCAGCCAACCCAGAAAGGGTTGGTGACCCCTGCTTGAAACACCCAAGTAGCCTTAGGGGCCCACAGTGAATCATTGTTAGGAATCTCTAGTTAAGGAAGAAAAGGAGTTCTGTCAGGTTTTGGATGGGAAGTATGAAGGTGCTGACCTCAGGCACAGCTAAAAGTTATTTAGTTATACTTAGAATTGCAATAGGGTTCTTTTGTATATTATTTTTTTAATCTCCGTATTGAGTGTATGTAGTTTTAGTAACTTCAGTAGTTGATTTTGTTTCAGTCCTGACTCCTGGAATTAACTAGTTGCCCTCTATCATTTGCCTCTGCTTCGTTGAGCTGTTGATTTTGCCAAAATTCTTTCAGTTGTTGTTTTTTTCCTATTGTATATAGCCAGGCCCAGATAGAGGAGGATTTCCCAAAAAATCTGTGTAGAAACTGATATATGTAAAGGAGTGGGACTAACGTGGAAACAAGAAGACCTCCTTTACTAATCACTGTTCATCTACAGAGATGAACACAACCAAAACATTCCAAAGGAAGGACTGAGGGTGTCTTTCTCCTTTATTATATCATTTTTAGGAAAATACTTGCACAAATTCAGACTCTCTATTTTCCTGAAGTTTTTACAATCAAGAAAATCTGTTATAAAATAAGGAAAATTATGAAGGCATAAGACATGAATTTATTAAATCTTTATTAATATTAAACAATAGTCTGTATATAGAAATGTTTGTTCTAAGTCCTATGATACAGTGATATATGATAATTCAAATTAACTGGTTGCCTTCTATCATTCCTGCATTCTACATTGCAAAAATTGTTATTGTAACTACATTGAAGGAAATATTAATGGCGATTCTGAATCATCCTTGGCTTTTTTTTTATAACAAATTTTATTGGTTTTTTTACTTTTACAACAGAATACTCAAGACACACCATGGTGGTTAGGTGATCAATCATCCAGAAACAAAATCATATAATATCTTGAGTAAATACATTAAATGTTCCCTCTCTATTTTCCTCAAATAATATAACCTATTTAACATAATCTATTTCTACATTACATATCTATAAATCCTGTTTTTGAACTTTATTAATTTACAGTTACCATAGTCCAATTTGATCTTAGATAAACTCTATACAGTCAGTAAAAACAAGACCAGGAGCTGACTGTGGTTCAGATCATGAGCTTCTCGTTGCAAAATTTAGGCTTAAATTGAAAAAAGTAGGGAAAAGCACTAGGCCACTCAGGTATGAACTAAATCATATTCCTGATGAATATACAGTAGAGGTGACAAATAGATTTAAGGAACTGGATCTGATAGACAGAGTGCCTGAAGAACTATGGATGGAAGTTCGCAACATTGTACAAGAGGTAGCAACTAAAACCATCCCAAAGAAAAAGAAATGCAAAAAAGCAAAATGGCTGTCTGAGGAAGCTTTGCAAATAGCTGAGGAAAGAAGGGAAGCGAAAGGCAAAGGAGAAAGATACACCCAGTTGAATGCAGAATTCCAGAGAGTAGCTAGAAGAGATAAGAATGCCTTCTTAAATGAACAGTGCAAAGAAATAGAAGAAAACAACATAATAGGGATGACCAGAGATCTCTTCAAGAAAATTGGAGATATGAAGGGAACGTTTCATGCAAAGATGGGCATGATAAAGGACCAAAATGGCAGGGACCTAACAGACGCAGAAGAGATTAAGAAGAGATGGCAAAACCACACAGAAGAACTATACAAGAATGAGCTTAATGCCCCAGATAACCACAATGAGATGGTCACTGACCTCGAACCAGACATCCTAGAATGTGAAGTGAAATGGGCCTTAGAAAATCTGAGCAACAACAAAGCTAGTGGAGGTGACAGTATTCCAGCTGAGCTATTCAAAATCTTAAAAGACGATGCAGTAAACATGCTACACAAATTTGCCAGCAAATTTGGAAAACTCAACAGTGGCCACAGGATTGGAAAAGGTCAGTTTACATTCCAATTCCAAAGAAAGGCAATGTCAAAGAATGTTCAAACTATCGCACCATTGCACTCATTTCACATGCTAGTAAAGTTATGCTTAAAATCCTACAAGCTAGACTCCAGCAGTATGTGGATCGAGAACTACCAGAAGTACAGGCAGGATTTCGAAGAGGCAGAGGAACTAGAGATCAAATTGCCAACATACGCTGGATCATGGAGAAAGCTAGGGAGTTCCAGAAAAACATCTACTTCTGCTTCATTGACTATGCAAAAGCCTTTGATTGTGTGGATCACAACAAATTGTGGCAAGTTCTTAAAGAGATGGGAGTACCAGACCATCTCATTTGTCTCTTGAGAAACCTATATGCGGGTCAAGAAGCAACAGTGAGAACTGGACACGGAACCACTGATTGGTTCAAAATTGGAAAAGGAGTCCGGCAAGGCTGTATACTGTCGCCCTGCCTATTTAACTTATATGCAGAGCACATCATGAGAAAGGCAGGGCTAGATGAATCAAAAGTTGGAATTAAGATTGCCGGGAGAAATATCAACAACCTAAGATATGCAGATGATACCACTCTAATGGCAGAAAGTGAAGAGGAACTAAAGAGCCTCTTGATGCGGGTGAAGAAGGAGAGTGCAAAAGTTGGCTTGAAACTCAACATTAAGAAAACCAAAATCATGGCATCCGGCCCTCTCAATTCCTGGCAAATAGATGGGGAAGAAATGGAGGTAGTGACAGATTTTATTTTCTGGGCTCCAAGATCACCTCAGATGGGGACTGCAGCCAAGAAATTAAAAGACGCTTGCTCCTGGGGAGGAAAGCTACGGCAAATCTAGACAGCATACTAAAAAGCAGAGACATCACCCTGCCAACAAAAGTGCGTATAGTCCAGGCCATGGTTTTCCCAGTTGCAATGTATGGCTGTGAAAGTTGGACCATAAGAAAGGCTGAGCGCAAAAGAATTGAGACCTTTAAACTATGGTGCTGGAGAAGACTCCTGCGAGTTCCTTGGACTGCAAGGCATTCAAACTGGTCAGTCCTAGAAGAGATTAACCCCGACTGCTCTTTAGAAGGCCAGATCCTGAAGTTGAAACTCAAATACTTTGGCCACCTAATGAGAAGGAAGGACTCACACTGGAGAAGGGCCTAATGCTGGGAAAGATTGAGGGCAATAGAAGAATGGGACGACAGAGAATGAGATGGCTGGATGGAGTCACTGAAGCAGTAGGTATGAACTTAAATGGACTCCAGAAGATGGTAGAGGACAGGAAGACCTGGAGGAACATTGTCCATGGGGTCGCGATGGGTTGGACACGACTTCGCAATTAACAACAACAACAAACGTATTATCACTTCGGGTATCCCTTCTAAAATACTAATCCAGATATATTCTAATTCTTAATCTCATAAATCATTAATTTTATCACAAATCTCTTATTTCTTCAGATAACATTTAAATCTCATTCAAATAGTTAGCATGTCTAAAAAAAAAGAACACACCTATTATTACACAAAGCATCGTCTTACTAGCTTAACATGCTCAATTAGTTGTTAAATCAATCCAAATCTCTAAAAACTTCTTTCATATTCTTATTCTCATTCCATTACAAATTTTTTTCATCCAAATAAACATATTATTCCAAAAAATACATTGTTACTCTGTTTAACATATATATTCTAATAAACACACATTTTCAACTCTAAATCTTAGTTCTTAAATCAATCCATATTTCTCAAAACTTTTTTAAACCATTACATATAATTTTAAATTTTTCTTTTTAGTCTTATTCTGGCTTTCTTTTTATGCCAAGCAGGTTTCCATAATAAAGGCTTCTGTTTCAGCAAATAGATCTCCCATTATTGCTGGTAATATCATTTGGGTCAGTAATAGACTTCCCATCCTCTGTTTTTGATGCCTGGCTCTTGTCTGCTTTATAAAACACTCAATCATGTCCAATTTTATAATTAGTAGTTGATTATCAAAGTTGTCGTAATTCTCCAACAGTTGTAATTTCAAGTCAATTTCTGTTAATTTTGCAATTGTAGATAGTTTAGTTACAGTCATTTTTTGGTCATCCAAAGTCTCCATAGATTGTATGTAAATTAATTCCTCTTCTATTATTTTTTGATCTGAAGAATGATCAAATAGAGTCTGAAGATCAGTTTGTAAGTTCACAGTATAATTTCTGTTTATTATTTCTGTAGTACTCTTTCTTATTTGGGAACATATTTCTTCGGTAGCTTCATAAATTTTATCCAGTATGAGTTTATAATTTAGTTGTAAATAAGAGTTCTCCATTTCAGTAGTAACTAAATCCAATCCTGTTATCTTTTAGTGGGGGCTGTATTCCAAAACATTTAGTCAGTATCCACCCCCACCAATAACAGCTGTTGGAGCAAGAGAAGAACAAGAGACAATTGCAGTTTTAAATTTCTCCACAAGGTGTCCTCAGTAAACTATGAAAGTCTCTTCCAGACACCAAAAATGAGGTTAGCAAAGTCAATGAGCTGTGAACCCAAAAATAAAGTTTTATCCCTTTAAAAAAATAAGTCCAGGACATAGAAAAACAATATTCTCCAGCTTAGAAGATACAATAATAAAGTTTTATAATAAAGATTTTTCCAGGGCCCCTAAGTAACCAAAAATAAAAATAGTCAATAAGAAGTTTTTTTCCTTTGTTATGGAAAGCTCTTTTCCCCAGATAAACAGAGGCAGCTCTTTCAAAGCAGGGAAGTAATTCCAAAAGGATTTTAACAGGAGAGTAGTTAGGCAAAGAGAGAGAGGGAAAAGTCTCACCGGGATCATCCACGATGGTTTCTTAACGCTTAGATGTTCTTTTGACTTTCGGCTGGAGCAGCTAAATGACCGGCCATGTTACTGGCCAATCTTGTCTCCGTCGGCCCTGAGGAGCTGCCTCGGACTGCGGAAGGAGCTGCCTTCTCATCATGAGTCCTCCTCATCGGTAGTCACCCCTCCAGGGTAACTTTTTGACCCGATTAAGGGTCTACCGGCAGAGGAAAAGCAGATAACAAAGAGAGAAGTGTCTTCGTGTATCTGCACCCACTGCAACCCAAAACCGGAAGTCAATCATCCTTGGCTTTTGATGTTGGTACATATTTACTGTGAAATTCATTCAGTTGAATTTAGTGGGATATATTTCTGATGTAGAACCAAGTCACATGATTAATTATACAGTAATAAAAAAACTATTAGAGTACTATTAGTACAGCATGCTTATTTAGGTTTTAGAAAAACAACTTAAAATTTACTTGTAATAACTTGTCATTGGTATGACAGATTTGAGATGTTAGCTTCAATATGGTCCTTGTGTATCCTATTGATTATTATTTTTATGTTTATATAATTGCAAATATAGAATGTGCAAAATGATTTCCAGAGTTTGGAGCAGGAACCTAGTAGGATAGACTGTAGGCTTACCTTTTCAGAGGTTTTATCAGTGTGAGGAATAAATATTCAACTCCAAGGGTATTGGAAAACAAAACAAGTTTTATTAAAGCTTTTGCAAAAGCTGATGGATCTCTTGGTAATTGCAAATCCCAGAGTCTGCAGTTGAATCAATTTTTGCATAGTTTTTATACCCTGTCCCTTAGAATTACGCCACATCTTTCCTAACCAGACCAGTGGATAACCAGGTTGAGTCACATGATTTCTGACCACCTAGTATCCAGACTCTCCAATTATTAGATCAAAAGCTCCCTTTGTTCCTCTCTTATCTCCCCTCCTTTTTCTGTGGCATGATTTGTAACATCCTACTAACTAAGGGTGTAGCTTATCTACAAGGTAAACTGCTATCCAAACTGGATAGTTGCAATTATAAAGGATTTATGTTTTCCCTTGTTTATCTATAAGAATGCCTGCTTTTCATCTAGAAGCTATGTGTGTAACAGAATTCATGCTTCAGTTAAAAATGGCTACACTTTGGTTCATAGTTATACTTTAAAATACTAACTCTAGGCAGTTTTTATAAAGAATAAACTTTATATAAATTGAATAATATGTTATTCATAAGCTATATGCTGTTCTTCAATAGTGTGCACTATTCTATAAGTATGCTTTGAGTCAGTGTATATAGTTCCTCTCTATTCCTCCAACCTACTACATCTCCTTTCCTAAAAGTACCTTAGCTAAGTGCCTCTATACGCCTATTCCTTTAACAAAAATGAAAAATTATAACATGTACATTTCTTGTGTACCTCACACCAGCATATAAGGAACAAAAAGGAAAAGACCAGTGTATAGTGGAGTTCAATATGTGGCTAAAAGAGTGGTGTAAAGGGGAAGGCTTGTTATATTAGTCATGATGTCTGCAGCTGCTCTAGTGAAAAACTGTTCAAAAGAGAGGGTCTGCAGCCATCAAAGAAAGGGACTGAGGTACTTGGCATTAAATTCACAGACTTTCTGGAGAAATATTTAAACTAAACAACAGGGACAGTGAGTTAATTGATATAGAACACTTCTGCCCCCAGCAGTCTAACACTAATAGAGTTATTAGTGCATGTAGCAGTTAAATATGAGCCAGAAATGTGCTGAAGCTGCCAAAAAAGCCAACACAGATCGGCCAACACATTACCAGAGGGATAGAATCAAGATCATGTGAAGTGTTAATATCACTTTGTAATGCCTTGGTAAGGCCACACTTGGAATACTGCATCCAGTTTTGGTCGCCACAATGTAAAAAAGATGTTGATCAGTGGAACAACTTGCCTCCAGAAGTTGTGCCTCCACTTCCAAGAGTGGAAGTTTTTAAGAAGAGATTAGACAACCATTTGTCTGAAATGGCGTAAGTGTTTCTCAACCTTCACAGTTTTAAGGCATGTGGACTTCAACTCCCAGAATTCCACAGCCAGCAATGCTGGCTGTGGAATTCTGGGAGTTGAAGTCCACATGCCTTAAAATTGTCAAGGTTGAGAAACACTGGTGGGTTTGGACTAAAAGACCTCCAAGATCCTTCCAACTTCATTACTGTATTCTACTCTATATGTTTATCTTCATGGTATTCCTAATGTAATAAGACATATGCTGTTGCTCTTAATATTAAAATTAATTAGAGGCCATAATGATTTCATTGCAAATACATTTAAAACATTTCTTTGGAGCTATGTTTGAATTATATCTGCATTTTTAAAATGTGTGTTTCTTGATTTAGATCCCTTTTGCTGAAAATGAGGAAATCCACCAACGATCAGTGAAAATTCTAGGGATTAACACCTGGGACCTTGCTTTAGAATTAACAGTTTTTGACTGGAATCTTTTCAATTTGGTTCATGAAGTAAGATTTGCATGCTAACTATAATCAGTGCTTTGTTTAGCTTTGATTAATTACAACAAGTTTTCTCATGAAATTATTTCTTTGTAATTATTTTGGGTCATTCCACAGGCTTATTGCCAAATGTAGCTGTATGTATTACATCAGAATTCCCCAATGTTTTTGGCTTTGCAGGAGAGGGGCAGGAGAGAGGATGATTCCGTGTGCGTGGTGGGCAAGTGTGTAAGTGCGCACAACTCTATTTGCCCAAACGGGCACGTGAGGTTGCCACTCATGCAGATGGAGCGCACACACTTGCCCCCTGCTCACGTGAGTGAGGATGTGCATGCATTTGCCCGTCATTTCCACAGCCTCGTTCTGAAAGACTCAAGGCCCTGTAGCAGGCCACAGCCTGGGGGTTGGGAACCTTTCTATTACTTCTTTGACAAAAAAGAAAAATAGATTTCACCTAGTTCTCAAAAGCTTTTCAAACTGAAATCAGCAATGACTAATAGATATTAAGTTACAAACAATCTGATTATTAATTTTTTATAGATTTGATTAAAAGAGTAATTGCCAAATTACTTTTCGGAATCACTGTAGATTTGTTCAAGTTACTAATATGGGTTATCTGACCAAGCAACAATAATTACATTTTTCAGATTATTAAATTAAATTAAATTCTAATTTGCATCTTATGTTCTTTTAAATTGTCTTCCAGCAAGAACTGATATATTTCACCTTCAGCCGACAAGGAAGTGGGAAAAACACTGTGAATCTTAGTCTTCTGCTTCAAAGATGCAATGAAGTTCAACTTTGGGTTGCTACAGAAATACTCCTCTGCAACCAGCTCTGTAAACGTGTACAACTAGTGAAAAAGTTCATTAAAATTGCTGCTCAGTAAGTTAAATATTAAATAAATATTGATAGCTGGTTCCTGTTGAATCTGCTTAACAAGGGGTAATGAAAGAAAAATTCTATATATTTGACTTTGCCCATTGAAAAATGCATAGAAAAAGCTATGTGTGATTAAAGAATTATGTGCCAAAATTTGCTGCAAACTGATAATTAATATATATACATATATATACATGATAAATTTCTCCAATTGCTTCTCTTTTTGATGATGCTTCTCTCGTGATGCTAAGCAAAATCCTACTGAACTACCAACTATTATTAAAGTATATTAGTTTCATTTCATTCATTTCCTTTACTTTCTTCATGGCCTATTTCAGTTGTATACAGTAGATATAAAAAAAATCTATATAAAATGCCAGGTTTTTATGATGTAAAAAAATCAGATCAAGATAAATCACTTCATAATTTTTCCATTGTTAATGTAAGTTACACAATTCAATTTAAAAATAAATCAAAATCTTTTAGGAGGAAAAGTAACAACAACAAACTTCAAGTAATATGGTGGCATAAGTGTACGCAGCCTTAAACTAATACTTTACTGAAGAACCTTTTGATTTTATGAATAGCATCCAGTCTTTTGGCAGGAGCCTATCAGGCACATGGCACATCTTTTCTTAGGAACCTTTGCCCGTTCTTCCTTGCAAAAGTATTCCAACTCTATCAGATTGCGAAGGCATCTTCTGTGCACAGGCCTCTATAGGCCACCTCACAGATTTTCAATTGGATTCAGGTCTAGGCTCTGGCTAGGCCCTTCTTAAACTTTGATCTTCTTCTGGTGAAGCCATTCTTTTGTTTATTTGGGTTATTATCATGTTGAAAGGAGAAATTCTTCTACATCTTCAGCACATCTTCAGCAGGAGAGGCCTGAAGGTTTTGTGCCAAAATTGACTGAAATTTGGAACTGTTCTTAATTCCCTCCATTTTGACTAATTTTCAGTTCTAGCTGAAAAAAAGCAGCCCCAAAACATAATACTGCCACCACCATGCTTCCCTGTGAGTATGGTGTACTTTTGGTGATGCATAGTGTTATTTTTGTGCCAGACATACATTTTGGAATTATGCTTTAAAAGTTCAACCTTGATCTTATCAGACCATAAAACATTTTCCATATGCTTTTGTCAGATATACGATTAACTAAATTTTCAGTAAGAAACTATAAAATACTGTATATTGAAGGCTGTAGAGCACATGAACAATATTCTTAACATTGTAAAGCTTTGTGCAGACAACAGTGGAGAAATATTTAATTTAGAAAAATCCAATTTGTGCAGTAAAGAATATTAATTTGCCAGGACCTGTGCATGTAAGATATGTGTGTTTGTGTGTAATCTATGTATACCTCTAAGAAGAAATTGCACATTTATGACTGGCAGTTGAGAGAAAACAAAATTGTTCTTTTTATTATGAATCTCCATAAATTTGAACTTTCCATTTGCATTTTAAAATAGTATTTGGAATTATCAAAATTATGGTGTGATTTCCAAAGAATGGAGCAGTATTTTCTTTTTAAAATAAATAAATAAATAAATAAATGAATTCCTCAAGTTCACAGAGTTTAGATTCATGAAGTTATAAAGTCAGCACTCTATTTTAAACAACAGAGTGTTAAGTGACTTTGAATACCACAAGGAAATTACTTTTCTGATATTTTTTCATAGTTGCAAAGCCCAGCGAAATCTGAATTCATTTTTTGCCATTGTCATGGGGCTCAACACTGCCTCTATCAGCCGGCTTTCTCAGACCTGGGAGGTAATATGAGAACTTTATTGTTTTATTTTTTTTTCTAGATAATGATTTTTAATCATATTTTTTCAGCAGTTTGATATATATGAAAAGAAAAAGTCGCACTTTAGTACAGGCATGCATTCTTTACTTTCTCATAATTGTTACTGATATTGAAAGAACAGATTTAAGAACCTTATTTTTGATAGATAAATCCAAAACAAAATTTATAAACTGTTTTGGATAATGTCTTGTTTTTCTTTTAGTATGAGTTGAATGACATGGAACTACCATGGAAAATTCTATACATTTAACAAAAGTTGATTCCTGGAAAGTTACATGATAAAAACTTAGTTACAGATATAGATATAGATATAGATATAGATATAGAGATAGATAGATAGATAGATAGATAGATAGATAGATAGATAGATAGATAGATAGATAGATAGATAGATGTAGGTCTTTGGTTATTTGGGTTTTCTCCCGTGTAAAATTGGAAGTGTCTTGGCGACGTTTCGACGAAGTCCCATTCGTCATCTTCAGGCTGGTATTTTCAGCTTCGTGCTTCGAGGAGCAATGTGTAGTCTTAGCTGTTTCTTCCTTTTAACTGCCAGTGGGGGTATGAACTGATTGGGTGGGAGCTTGGCTGTGTTCTGATTGGGTGGAGGTGTATTCTGATTACAAACCTAATCCAAAAAGAAACCCCCACTAAAATCCAAGACAGAGAACAAGAAAACGGCAAAGCCCTCCTCCCATACATAAAAGGCACCACAGACAGAATCAGCAAGATCCTCCATAAACACAACATCAAAACAGCATTCTGCACAAACAGAAAAATATCCACCATCCTAAGAAACCCCAAAGACAAAGTTGAGTTAGAAAATCAAGGAGTATATGAAATCCCATGCACCGCTTGTCCCAACATATACATTGGACAAACCAACATTTGCATTGAAGAACATAAGAACTCAGTCAAAAAAGAGGAACCAACATCTTCCCTGGTCCAACACCTTAAAGCCACAGGACATGAAATTGACTTTAAAAATATCAGAACTAGCGCCAAAACTGAACATTTTAATAACAGAATAATCAGAGAAGCCATCGAGATAGAAAAATGCCCACACAGCATGAACAAATGAGATGATACCTCCCGCCTACCAGCCATTTGGAAACCCGCCCAAATGACTCCCTAACACAAAGAATGACACCAGACCCACACTCACTAAAACCACACAGGATGTCACCACCACACATACACACAAAAAGCAAACCCAAAGCCACACCGATGATGAGGCACGACCACAAACCAGAAGCCAGACCACAGCTGCATCATTAGCCACTTTAAACCCCTCCAATCCATATATGAAGCAAACTGACACCCACCATGAAGATGAGGCACGACCACGAATGTGAAGCCAAAAAATAGCAAGGCAGCCCACCATCTTAAATCCCCCCGCAACTCAGACTAACCTGAGCATAACAAAGCCCCCACCCAAACAAAACACTCCCCCATCCAATCAGAGCACAGCCAACCCCCCATCCAATCAGAGCACAGCCAAACCCCCATCCAATCAGAGCACAGCCAAACCCCCATCCAATTAAAACACACCTCCACCCAATCAACACAGCCAAGCTCCCACCCAATCAGTTCATACCCCCACTGGCAGTTAAAAGGAAGAAACAGCTAAGACTACACATTGCTCCTTGAAGCACGAAGCTGAAAACACCAGCCTGAAGATGACGAATGGGACTTCGTCGAAACGTCACCAAGACACTTCCAATTTTATGTGGGAGAAAACCCGAATAACCAAAGACCTACATACAAACACCCACGAAAACCTCAGAAAATATATATATATACATATACATATATATATATGTATGTATGTATGTATGTATGTATAGTTAGTTAGTTAGTTAATTTTGTACAGTATTACTATTATAAAATTTGGTATAACCAGTATAAATTCAAAAAGTTTAATTTAACTCAGTTTGCTGAAGAGGACAATTTTCTGCCAAGTGTTTTCAAACCTAATATTTCTGGTTTTTTTTGTATTTTTACCCTCATTTTTTTTTTGATTGAGAAAAATTGCATTTGATGAATCTTTCCATATAAATATAACATCAGTGATTTTCCCTTTCAATATTCCATAAGGCTACTGTGATAAAATAAATAACCATAGCATTCTCTCTTCAACAAAAGTCATAATGTGGTTGATGATGACCTTTCTCCTCCCTCCTCTACATAAATTTTAACAAATATATTATTAAATGTATCCAAATCCAGATGCTTATAAACAGCATTAAATAATAAATGTGGGTTGTAACACATTTTTATGTCATTCTCAAACATTATTTGTTAAAAAATCTAAGAAAGATACTGTCAGAGAAAGTTTATTTCTTTGATATACTACAAATGACTCACTGATAGAATCTAGTATTTAATTCCAGTTCCAGTTTTTTAATATGCAGTATTTTATTGCAGAGAATGCCTGGAAAGTTTAAGAAGCTTTTTGCTGAACTTGAAAGTTTAACAGTAAGTATAATTTATGTAAAACAGTCTTTAATTTTCCTATATATGTATTTTTGTTGATAAATGGAACCATTATTGTATGTCTAAATGCTATTGCTATTACTATTATTATCTAACTTTGGATGTATTGTACTTAACATTTAGCTTTACACAAATGTCATATGTTCTAGACAAAAATATATATTACTTCACCTAATTCTCTTTAAGAAACCTTTTCTGTCTTATTTTTCAAGAAAAAAATATTTTTGTATCTACACATGTTGTATTTAAAGAAAGCTTCTATCAATATAAACTGCAGTTCCTAATACAGTCAAATCATTTCAACAGGATCCTTCTCTGAACCACAAAGCCTATAGGGATGCATTCAAGAAAATGAAGTCCCCAAAGATTCCTTTCATGCCTTTACTTCTTAAAGGTAAAATGATTTAAGCATATTTGCAGTCCTAAACTTAGAGGCCTTGCCTCAGTCAAGTGTAATGGATTTTAATCCATTTCAGTAATATTTAGAATTATATTTTTAGGCACTGAAAAATAAAGTAACTTTTAAAACATGCCTGTATAGCTGCAATCTTACATAGATCTACTAGCTCAAAGTTCCCCAACCTGCAGATGGGGGGGGGGGACGGCTAGCAAGCACGGAACCAGCAAGTGCACACAGACCACTTCTGCAGCCTGGTTCCAAACAGCTCATAGCCCAGTAGTGGGCCATGGCTGGGGTTGGGGATTCCTGTACTAGCCAGTAAAGCTGACAAAATACATTGGGCTTCATTTCTAAGTAAGCATGGATTTGATTATGTTGTAATTATGGTATATGTTTTGAATTTTGAATCAGATTCAATTTCAGATTTGATCTCCTTAACTGGGGGAGGAATCCTACAGAGCTGCTCAATCAGCTTTATTGATTAATGGTAAAATGTATTTTTGTTTTCCAAAGAGGTCTGTTTTTTTACTAATAATATTAAAAGGAAAATTGAACTGCTATTGTTAGTTCTGTAATACATCATTTAAATTAATTGAATTTCTATAACAAAATCACAATCAATTGCTTTTTAAGTCTAGTTTGTTTATCTTGCTCTTACACTGCAGCTCAGAGGTAGTTTTCTGCTCCACTGAATTTATTTCAGCTTGTAATTGTTGACTGCAATGGAGATTCCTTACTTCAACCTCCCAGTCTTTCCAAGACTTTCAGTTTTGTCTTGATTTGAACATTTTTTTAAAAATAGCTGTTAAAACTTTCATTAATACTGACAGTAACACAATCACTGAGGAAAAGATATATATCATACACATTATATTAGGATGTTATAATGCAATATAAGTTCCAAGAGAGAAAAATGCCAGTCATTGTGGAAAAGGGGACAGATGAATAGTATTTGTGAAAAGGAAAGCTATTAAGGGGAAATCATTATAATAAATAATTAAATTGGTGGTTATATTTAAATGTGATTAAATTAACATTTTTAAAAAATATTTTTGTCCCAGCCATATCCATCATTTTTGGAGATATAGCCTTTAGACTACTAGTTAAAGATCAAGTATAACCCTCAACTCACTAAGCTTGTTTTTATGGATAGATGTATCCCGAGCAAGTCTTTTTTTCCCCCCAACCATACAAATTAAGACTTCCAGAAGAAACTTACTTAGGTTGCCTTTGGTCAGTACAAAGGTTGAACAGAAATCTATCAATAAAATTTTCTACCCCTTCATCAGATGGTTCTGAAGTAGTAACCACTATTCAAACAGCACATCTACATTCAATAATATCACAATGAACAACTATGAAGTGCAATTGCATTGTATTTTCCGCCAAATACAATTGCATTTTATTTTCATGCTATATTAATCTAATTTGTGTTTCAGAGGGCTGCTGTTTTAATCTTCCTAATTTAAGAGTTTTATTGGGCCTCTTCCCTTTGGTCCTGAAAGAACCAACAAGATGCACTGTAAATTCCCTCCTGCCATTCTGTTTCCCCCCACTTTTCCTCTCAATTACTCTCCCCGCTCAATTATTGGGCCCATATGAGAGGTTGGTGTTGGGATCTTTAGCGTAAAGGATTAGAGAAGAAGGTGTTTCTTTGGGATAGCAAGCAGTCAGCTCCCTAACTTAATTGGGCTGAGCTTTTGGTGTGAGAATAAAATATGAATGAAAGTTATGCCTAAAGTCCACCAGTTTGAATTGGCAAGATAGGGTGGTAGTAAGGATTTGTTTATAAAAGAAGAAAGAGTATCAGTGTTTATTTGATGGTTGTGGTTGTGGTGATTCTACTGACAAAGGGGAATGCAAAATTTGGTCCTATCAGAAGGTTATAGGAGAAGAGTAATTTAGATGTGTTTCTAGAAAACTACCTTATGCATATATGATTGGGGGTGCTCCATCACTGGAGGTTTTTAAGAAGAGACTGCACAGATACTTGTCTGAGATGGTATAGGACAGGTTCTCCTACTTGAGTGGGCTGGACTAGAAGACCTCCAAGGCCTCTTTCTATTCTATTCTATTCTATTCTATTCTATTCTATTCTATTCTATTCTATTCTATTCTATTCTATTCTATTCTATTCTATTTCACTTAGAACTCCAGAAATTGAAGTTTGGGGGGGGGGTGTTTTTACATTTTTATCACAATTAAAATTTCATAATGCTTACTTATACATGAAAATGTATCAATTACCATTGTGTTTTATTATGTGAACATGGAAAGTTAAGTTGAAAAATATATTTGCCTTTTTTTAGACGTAACATTTATACATGAAGGAAACAAAACATTTCTGGATAACCTTGTAAACTTTGAAAAGCTGGTATGTATCATTCCTCACTAAATTCAACATAATAAAAAGACAAACTCCCATTTTTATATTATCACTCACCTTCCTTTCTTCTTACTGTTATAATATTTATTCAGATTAAAATTGAATTTAGTTCTCTTTGCTTCAGCTTTCCACTGAGTATTCCCCCTGTATGTCAACTAACGATATTCAAGCTTAATTAACATTTGATATTCTAAATTCTTCCCACATTGTTAATTGATCACCATGTATTATTCCTAATTATCTGCTTCCTTTACTATGCAAAACAAAATACCTGGACATCACCATTATTTTTAGTTCTCTGTTTTGCATGGGTTTGTTCTCTTGTAGAAATATTCATATTTTTATTGGTTGGGGTAAATATTTATAAGGATTATTATATTCTTATATATAAATAGAAGGCAGACTCTTGAAGAGGTAAAAACATCTGCATAATTAACATTTCCATAGGACCAATAATTATGGTTAGGTTAGTTTACATTATTGTAGGAAAATATTGTTATATTTTAGGAAGTTAGGCATTTTGTGCTTCTTATTCTATATGCTTCCATATGCCTTATTGTAGGCCTATTAGTTCATTGCTCTACAAATTAAATTATTTGGCCTATATTGATTAAGGGATCACAACTGTGATTTAATAATAATTGTAGAAAAATATATTTTTTTTTCCAGGAATAAATCAATGAATATTAAAGGAGATATGTCAGTTCAAATCAGCCTATCTGATCATATATGTATAGTTTTTCTCTCTTTGGTAACATATAGATCTTTGTGAACTACTTAGAGAAAAAATGGCATAGGAGTCATTCTTTTAAATTAACTTAAATTTTAAATTAAAAATTCATTCTTTTTTTTTTTTAAAAAAACTATTAACTCCAAGAGCTGCAGTTCCTAGATATATTGGGTAGAATGGTTTTATGACCTTCAATTTCTGATGCCATATTGCCTATTTTTTGCTGGCTAAAATCTGTTCACATGAATTACTAATCTGTTTTTGGAAGGAATGGAATTTGGAGGGGTGTTTTTTTAGGGAAAAAAAAGTTTGGATGTCTGCTTGGCTACCTCTTCCCACAAATATGATAAGGCAGAATTCAAATGGCATCCTATAATGAAATCTGTGAATGCAACCATGAATTAATGTTTGAAATCATCCATATAAGGGACTACTGGAACAAATACAATCCAGATTTCCATTCTATGGCAAACACTTCCTGCCCTAATAATTTGGAGCTTGTACATGCTGTCATTCCTAGATTAAATGTTTGCTGACTCATTAATCTGTGTATTTTATCTTCCCAGCACATGATTGCAGACACAGTACGATCATTGAGGCATTGTAGGCGTAACCAATTTGGTAAGTGAGTGATATTTTGAGAGGTTCTCCATCTCCCTTCATTATCTAGCTTAAACATTTGGGAATCAAAGTCTATCTTCTCTGTGTTTGTTCTTACATACCAGAGCAGGAGTACAAAATTCATTTAGCCCTAAAGGCTAGCCTTGTTTTTTTATTGATATGCCAGTGGCTGTATTCTTAAGATTAATAGATGAGTGATAACAACTTTTGGTTTTATTTACATTACACTTAAAAAGAAATAATATTATTATCTCTAGTTATGTATTAATAATTATTTCTATCACATTAATATTACAAGTTAATTTGGAATTTAGACTTCAACTCCCAGTAACTTTTAGCAGCCAATACAAGCATACTCCCAATATAGCTAGCTGATGGGCACTAAATTCATAACATCTGTTTTCCCACCATTTTTATAAATGAACATGCATACACAGAACATATGCAAATCATGAAATAAAAACAAATGCGAGGAAATGAAAATCCTATATATTCACATAAATAACTGTTAACATTCTTAATTTGCACAAAATCATTTCCATCATCTTGAGTGTTTTATCTAGTACAGTGGTTCTCAACCTGTGGGTCGGGACCCCATTTGGGGTCGAATGACCATTTCACGGGGGTCACCAAACCATGCTGTCCGCCATTTTTTTCCCTTTTCCCTAGCTGTCCTACTCCCTTTTATTGGTGGCCATACCCACTTGGGGGTCACCACAACATGGGGAACTCTATTATGGGGTCACGGCATTAGAAAGGTTGAGAATCACTGATCTAGTACATGAACCAGCATATAGTGAAACAATTGGGAGGATAGCTTTTTCAATGTAATCTTTTCATAATTTTTGTAATTCAGTTTTATCTCAGTTCATAGAATAGAATACAATAACAAAGTTGGAAGGGACCTTAGAAATCTTCTAGTCTAACCCCCTGCTCAGGCAGGAAAACCTATACCATTTCAGACTAATTGTTGTCCAATCTCGTCGTAAAAACTTCCAGTGTTGGAATATTCACAACTTCTGGAGGCAAGTTGTTCCACTGGTTAATTGTTCTAACTGTCAGGACATTTCTTCTTAGTTCTAGGTTGCTTCTTTCCTTGATTCGTTTCCATCCATTGCTTCTTGTCTTTCCCTCAGATACTTTGGAGAATAGCTTAACTCCCTCTCCTTTAGGGCAATCCCTGAGATAGTAGAACATTGCTATCATGTCACCCCTAGTCCTTCTTTTCATTAAACTAGACATACTCAATTTCAGCAACCGTTATTTATATGTTTTAGCCTCCAGTCCCATGATCATCTTTGTTGCTATTCTTTGCAACATGTTTTTTACACTGTGCTGATCAAAACTGGATGTGGTATTCAAAGTGTGGTCTTACCAAGGCATTATAAAGTGGTATTAACACTATATGTAATCTTGATTCTATCCGTCTGTTAATGAAGCCTAGAACTGGGTTGGCTTTTTTGGCTGCTTCAGCACATTGCTGGCTCATATTTAAGTGATTGTCCACTAGGACTCTGAGATCCCTTTCAAAGTTACTACTATTGAGTGAGGTACCACCTGTACTGTACCTGTGCGTTTGGTTTTTCTTGCCTAAATGTAGAGCCTGCCTTTTTCACCATTGAATTTTATTTTGTTAGATAGTGCCCAATATTCAAATCTATCAAGATCTTTTTGTATCTTAAGCCTATCTTCTGGAGTGTTGGCTATTCTTGCCAGCTTGGTGTAATCTGCAAATTTGATGAGTTCCCCACCTATCCCCTCATCCATATCATTGATGAAGATGTTGAAGAGTACTGGACCTAAAACAGAATCTTGGGGTTCCCCACTGCATACTTCCCTCCATATAGATGCAGTTCCATTGAGGACTACACATTGAGTGTGGTTGGTCAGCCAGCTACGAATCTATTTGGTGGTGATGTTGTCTAACCCATATTTTTCTATCTTATTTAGTAGTAGGTTGTGGTCTACTTTATCCAATGAGTTACTGAAGTCCAAGTAATTGATGTCCACAGTATTCCTCTGGTCCATTAATTTTGTCACCTTGTCAAATAATAGAATAAGATTTGTCTGTCAAGATCTGTTTTTGACAAACCCATGTTAGCTTTTGGTTATGACTTTTTTTGCCTCTAGGTGTTCACTGACTTGTTGCTTGATCATCTTTTCCAGATATTGAGGTACGCTGATAGGTCTATAGTTTCCTGGATCTATTTTTTTCCTTTTTTTGAAGATGGGAACTACATCAGCTCTTCTGATAGTCCCCCAGTGCTCCAGGATCTTAGAAAAATATAGTTTAGTGGTTCTGAGATCACGTCTGTCAGTTGCTTCAAAATATTGGTGTGTAATCCATCTGGTCCTGGTGATCTGAATTCGTCTAGGGTGGATAGGTGCTCACTTACCATTTTCTTGCCTATTTTAACTGTGTTTCTGATCTGTTTTTTATGGTACTGTTTTTGATAGGTTGGACTGTTTTTTCCCTTTGTCTAAAGACAGATGCAAAAACGGAGTTAAGCATTTCTGCTTTCTCACTATTGCCTGTCATCTTCCTGTCATTTTCTCCCACTAATGAACCAATCATTTTCTTGACTTTTTTCTTACTTTTTACATTTTGAAAGAAGCTTTTTTTGTTGTTATTTTTTATTTTTGTCGCAAGTCTTATTTCATTTTGAGCCTTGGCTTTCCTCATTTCATCTTTACAGGTTCGGTCTATTTGCTGATATTCTGCCTTAGTTATGTGTCTTTTCACTTTTTAGATTTGTCCTTTTTGTCTTTCAATTTATCAGGGAGTTCTTTATGCAGCCATGCTGGTTTCTTTTGAGAACTGTTATTTTTTCTTCTTCGTTGGTATTGTGCTAGACTGGGCTTTTATAATTTCACTTTTCAGAATTTTTCAAGCTTGAGTTGTTTTCCCCTTGTGGATTCTCATCCATGGAATCCTTCCTAAGCTCTCTCTGTTTATTGAAATTAGCTCTCTTAAAATCCAAGACCCTAGTTTGACTATGTTCTATTGCTTGTGCTTCCATAATTTTGAATTTTAATATTGTATGATCACTCCTCCCCCCTAAGGTTCCTGTGAGTTCAACACCTATCATTTCATCTCTGTTAATGAGAATTGTCCAATTTGGCTGATACCCTATTTCCCTTCTCTACTTTTTGGGAGATAGGTTTGTCAGGAATCTGTTTGATCTTCCACTTGGCGTGGAGTTTATCTCCAGCTGATTTCAGGGTAGTTAAAGTCCCCCATTACTATTGTGATGTGCTTTCTACATACATTTGTTAATTGGCGAGCAAAAACTTCATCTATTTCCTCTGTTTGGTTGAGTAGCCTATAGTATACACCCAGTGGTGGGATTCATTTATGTGAACAACTGGTTCTCTGTGTGGATGCCACTTCCGGAAGTCCGTTCTGGGCCTGGGCAACAAAAAATTAGCTACTGGTTCTGCCAAACTGATGCAAACCGGCTGAATCCCACCACTGTATACACCTATGACAATGTCATTTTCTTCCCCTTTTACATTGACCCAAATGCATTCAAGACAGTTTCATCATTCTTGTGCTCTATTTCCATTTGTGTGTTTCATCCCACCAAGTTTCCGTAATGCCAACAATATTACACCTGCCCTCATTTACCTGAATTTCTAATTCACCCTTTTTATTGTTAATTCTCTGTGCATTGGTGTATAGACATTTGAGTCCTTTTTGACTGACCCTCTGTTTACTTTCTATATAACCTACTGCAGTGGTTCTTAACCTGGGCGATATCACCCCCCAGGGGGCGATTTTGTTTTTCAGGGGGGCGATGGAATGAAAAGGGGCGATGTGGGGGTGAAGGAACGAAAAGGGGGCGATATGGGGGCGATGGAACAAGAAGTTTTGGGGACATTTTTGAACCTGCCCCTGCGTCTCCGAGCCTCCTCCGCCATTTGGAGAGAGAGATAGAGAGGCACTTGTGCTTCTCTCTCTCTCTCTCTCTCTCTCTCTCTCTCTCTCTCTCTCTCTCTCTCTCTCTCTCTCGCGGATTTGCCCCCTCACAGGGCTCCTGGTTGGCCCTGTGCCCGGGTGCCCCGCCTCCTGGGACAAGCGCAGCCAGGAAGTCCATTTCCCTGGCTGGCCCCGTCCCAGGTGCACATGGCCGGGGAACTGCGCAGGGGAGCCCCAGGATCCCCGCTGGGAGCAGCCCACCAGAGCCTCAGCCTAGCGGGCCAGCCTTCCTGCAAGCCGCAGCCCTGAGAGAGAGCTGCCCCTGCGATCCCCAGCCGTGGGACTGTTGGGCCAGCTGGCCGGGAAGGCGCGCCGGAGTCCTGGCTGCTTTGAGAGGTGAGTAGAAGATGGGGGGGAGAGAAAGGGAGGGGGAGGCATTTTCCAACCAGACCCATGGGAGGGCCTCCTCCTGAGGTCCGGCGCTGGCTTCCTTGCCCTCCTCCTCCTCCCCTTCTTCCTCCTGTTGCCCCCCGGGTGGCAGTCCTGGCTGGGTGGCAGCCGACGGGGGCATCGCTCCCTGGTCGTTGCTGGTGGGTCGCGGATGGCCGGGAGCGTCATGCGTTGCGGAGCAGCTCCAACTCCTCCAGCAGCTGATGGGGGTGTTCTGCAGATGCCCTCTGAGTTAAGCCCGGGGATGCTGGCAGCGCAAGGGGAGGCTTGGCAATGCAGCCGACAGGCGGGGCATTCTGCAGATGCCCTGTAGCCCTGACTTGAGCTCAGAGATGCCAGCAGCACGTGGGACGGCCTGCCAACATGACCGTGAGCCGGGGCATCCCTGCATGCCCGGCGGGCAGTGGAGTTGAGTGCCTCCAGCGGTGACGGGGTCTTCTGCTGCCTCCTGCCCCCCCACCCCTTCGATGCCCTCTGCCTTTCATTTTCTCTCTCTCTCTCTTCATCTGGAGAAAGAAGGGGAAGGGAGGGAGGGGAAAGAGAGAAAGAGAGAGGGAGGGGGAAAAGAAAAAGAGAGAGAGGAAGCGCAAGTGCCTCTCTCTCCCACCCTCTCCTCACTTGGAGATAGAAGGGGAGGGAGGGAGAGGAAAGAAAGAAAGAAAGAAAGAGAGGGAGAGGGGAAAGAGAAAAAGAGAGAGAGAAAGAGAGAGAGAAACCCAAGTGCCTCTCTCTCCCCCTCTCTCTCTCCTCACCTGGAGAAAGAAGGGGGAGGGAGGGAGAGGAAAGAGAGAAAGAGAGAGGGAGTGGGGAAAGAGAAAAAGAGAGAGAGAAAGAGAGAGGAAAAAGAGAGAGAGGAAGTGCAAGTGCCTCCCCCCACACACACACACACTGAGTGGGGGAAGAGGACTGGCAGACCAAGGGCAGAAAGAGGGAGGGAGGGAGAGAGAGAGAGACCTTTTTGACATCTAAAATGAAGATAACACTGAAGATATATATATATATAATAAAGGTAAAAAAGGATATATGCAGTGTTATCTTCATTTTAGATGTCAAAAGGGTTTTGCGGCTCCCAGTGTTTTGTTTTCGGTGGGAAACAGGTCCAAGTGGCTCTTTGAGTGTTTTGGGTTGCTTACCCCTGCTCTACCCATACAGTGGCACGCCATTGGCCAGAATGGGCAGTGATGGAGGGGGGAGTGCTTCTTTCAAAACACTGCATGCTGTTTTGTGTGTCTCTTTGTATTGTACTTTTTTAGCGTGCACTCCAGTTCAATATTATATTTTCTTTGTGTCTTTTTAATCCTTTTTACAGTGTGCGTGACTATATATACTTTCCTCGAATCTTAATTTAGTTTCAGAGTTTTCGTCTTGAAATTCTTAGTTCCTGCATTGCGGTTTGTTCTTATGCCCTTTTTATATCTCTTTTTGCATCTTAAATTTCACTTATAATTCAATCATTAAATGTTACTGTTTTTCTTTTTGGGCATTTCACTTTCTTGCAATTGAATTTTGTTTTTAATGGTCATTACATTTAAGTGTCTTGAATAAATAAGATAATAATGAAATACATGTATCACGAAGTTTGGGAATAAAGTGACGGGTGGCACCAAAATTTTTCACACAGCTGAGATATGGGAAAAAGACTGGAAATAAATTATTTGCATCATATGTCCTTATGACAAACAAAAAAGTGTTTGCATAAATTGAAGAATTATTTCCTATGTTGTGATTAAGAGGTTATGTTGGGGAGGGGGGCGATGACAACTTCCTCATTGGCTCAAGGGGGCGATTCGTTCAAAAAGGTTAAGAACCACTGACCTACTGTATGTGTTGCCTGAATTCCCCTACTTCCTTACACATGGTGAAAAGTTTGTTCATGTTTGTACAGTCTACAGATATAATGTAATGACATGCCTCCTTTATATTCTTCCTTAATGTAGAAGTCATACAAAGGCAGTATTCGCAGGCCTCTATGAAATTAGAAGTCATTAGAAAATTTCCATTATTTTACAGAAATAAATAATGTGAGGTTCAAGAGTTCCTTAAAATAAATTGTTGATTAAACTTCAAAATATGTCTTCAGAAAAATGCTATGAGATGACTTATCTATTATTTTTCTCTTATCAAAACTGTAGGAAATGATATACCTTCCAAAGAGCATGAGGAGCTGAAGTCCTGTGTCCATCATTTGCGTATCATTGACAACCAGCAGATGTTGTTTGAGCTTTCTCACAGGATAGAACCCCGTATATGAATTCATACTTATCTATCTCCAGCACTTTCAATTCATGAATACTTACGTGCCAAACATGTTGTTTTCCTAAGAAATTGATGATTACTGAGTTTTATCAGTAATTGGTGCCACAGTAGACGTTAGCCTCTCAATGCAAAGAAAGAGGATCTTCACAACAACCTTACAAGATGAAAAATGCCAAATCTGCTTAGCTACAGGGAGAAGAAATGATTCACCATATTGAAAACCTTATTTTTCTTGAATTTTTTTGTTCAAAGTAGCTTTCAGCACTCAGTATTAAATTGAAATAAAATGTTCTAGCCTAATAAGGATCTAGCAGCACTGTTTTGAGAAAGATGTTCATAATTTGGTGCATGGGGATATACCTCACTAACCATAAGCTGCCCTAAGTGCCAAAAAGAAAGTAATAGGGCAAGTATTGATGAATTATCCCTGAGATATGGCATCCATTTCAAGATTAAAGTATAAAGTATCAAGAAGTTGTTAGAACATAGATACTTAATTTAAAACAAGCACAGTTAATACTTGATTTAATATCTTGTACAGTATTTCAAAATGTGCTGCCTAATAAAGCAAAATGTCACAGTATCAATTATGGTTATTTTCATGTTGGATTAGGATTTAGAGCACTCTGCTTTTAATATTTCTTATGGGTAAATGCTTTTGAAACTTTAGAGCCACCTCAGTTTTTGGGCCCTTTACTTAGTAATTCTATTAGGGGCAAGCAATGTCACAGAAGTATCCTGTCTGTAGCTTTATTAGAAATGAATATAGTTTGTTTTACTTCTGTGTTCACTTTACTATGCTATTACTAATTACTGTTATTTTTAGACTGGTACACGTTTATTGCAAAACAATACTAAATTACTAAGGAAGAATCTATTGTGGGGCTGTAGCTTGCAACTCAGAAAACTACAGTGGAATCCCCAGAATTACTTTACAAAAAGAAAGAAAGTAAAAGTGCTATGGCACACTTATTGCTATTATTAATTAAAATGGTAATAATTTATACCTATTCAGTCTAATCTCGTTTATCTGTCATAAACATGATCTACAAACAAAAATGAAAAAAGTTCATACAACATATTAAGCCAAATTCAAACAATTATGGTTTGTCATGGAATCTGACCATAGAGGAATTATACTTTGAGAAACAGCCATATAGTTTTTGTGTTTTCCTTGCAAGATTAAAAGCTGAGGTTGAATTCAAATTTACAAGATGAGGAGGTCGCTGACTACCATAAGAGAACTTGCATTGGAAATTAAATGGATGATTCTCAAAATCTGTCTAAGAAACTTTTTTTTGATAGTTTTCTTTCATCAAGGTGCAATTACAAAAGATTTGGAGGTTTCACACTGACAACAGACTGGATAGATCATGATAATCTTATGATTTAAAAAAAGGTCTTCTGAAAAGAAAGATTTAAAGCCTGTGCAACAAATATGTGAGAGAATCACAGATTTGTTGCAGTGTATTTGAGTGTAATTTGAACATGTGATTTAAAAGTGAAAGCTTTGGTGTAATAAATCTTGTGCCTTGGTTTTCATGTTAAGATATCAGAACTAGACTTACATTCTTGAAATTATGTTTGCAATTTATTCTAATCTTCAGAATGTCTTGTTTATCCTTCTATTAAGTATTTTCAAGAAATTGCCTAAAGAATGCAATAAATAGAATTTATTCCACTGGGTGTAAAGGAATGCATTTCATTGTGAAAATCTATTTATATGCAGCTTTATACAAAATAGACTTTTATAATACCACAAGACTATACTGGTTGACAAAAGAGGCTATGTTAAAAATTAGGCCTCCCTTGAAAACATCTGAATTATTTTATTTTACTGCTTGGATCACATTTATTCAAGAACTTTTTCTACACAAGATCCTTCATAGAAGATTGACTGTTTGTTAGCAGACAAAATCAGTTTTAATTGATAAGGAATGCTTTTTGTTTGTTTGCAATGAAGTAGAGAGTTGTTCCATTAGATTTGGCCTTTCTCATAAAATTGACAACCCTGTATAGGTATAATATGAAGAGAATAATGTACATTTCTGAACTGTAATAGTTAGCACTTATTATACTGGTTATCCAATGTCTTCTAGGAATTATTTGGTAGAAATCATTACATTACATTACATTATTTTCTTAGGAAGTTGAACAAATTAGAAACAGCATAGATAAATTATTTAGGAATTTTCAGGATGTTTTTCCTATAGCAACTTAGCTGAAGAAGCAATTTGTTTATTAGCCGAAGAGCAGTTGTTTGGTTTGGCAGTAGGAGTTGTAATAAAAATATGTTATAAGCCTTATTTTTATCCACACACAAAAATAGCATTTGTAGTGGGAGAAGTCCCAACTATTGTAAATAAGCTTTCTGTGCACACAAACAAACCACACCTTTAGAAATGGAATTGAACATTTTGAAAAAGGCATTGCAACCCGGCTTGTTTTATAATGCCACTAAAGGATATACCGGTATTTAGAGGGAAGAATTAGAATCTGTTGTTTAATTCATGTATTAGGGTGAGCCTCTGTTTGCCAAGTGGTTGAGTTTAAATCTATAAAATAAAAGTTCTAGAATAAGTTAACTGGTGAGATTTGCAGGGGAGGATTAGTAGATAAGAAACTAATGATAGGTAACATGAGGTGGTTGGTTCTTATTTTTAAATATTGTCTTGCCTTTACACATCCATTAACAGTTTTGTGTAATTGCAGTCTTAAGAATACAAAAGACTAATAGGAATTCAAATCTTTTCTGTTTTGCTACCATTCTAAGCAAGCAAAAACTGGATAATTTTCAAACTTTGTGAGTTGGACTGTCTTGTGCCAGGTGTTGTAAGCAGCATTGCTTGAGTTCTTCACTTCTTCACTTCAGTGGCCTCTTGGTAATTATTTAGCCAAAGGGACCATTCAGAATTATGAGCCAAATTTTTCCTAAAAATAAGCTATGGTTAAAACTTGGGTTTTATTCTGCTAATGCAAGAGTATATTGCAGTCAACTGGGCTTTAGGTAATTTAAGCTATATTAAAGCAAGAGAAACAAATATGATGCAATAATGTATTACCTGCTGAGCAGTTTTTTTTTAAAGTCCAGTAATTTCATTTGTTAACTTTAGAGCTAAATAACTAGATAATTGCATTTCTGTGGAAGTGCATTCAGACTAGATTGTAAAAATGAACAACTTTCTCTTCAAGGTTATGTTCAGGAAAAGAAAAATGCATGCCACAATTTGGAGCAGAAGCCAGATATATAGTGTATAATCTCCATTTTATCCTACTCCTGATACATTCATGTAACTTTCTCCAGGAAGAAAGCCAACTTTAAGACAATGACTGAGTCAACCTTGAGATGGTTAAGATACACTGTTGTAACAATAAATAGTCCCTGCATTGAGTCTTTTGTGTATACCCTAAGTCTTGCTGGCATTAGAAGAGATTAGAATCAAAATTATACAATGTTTCTTATGCTTGAGGGTAAATCTCACTAAACACGATGGGACTTGTTCCTCAATAAACTTGCATAGGATTGTAGTATAAATTGGGCTGACTCTTGGACCCCAAACTGCTATAAGAGCTATGCGCTCCTATAATAGGAGCACAAATAGCAGCAATTAAAAGGGGGGAGATAAACTCTAGAAATATCTATGGAATCAAAAAGGCACTGTGGCAGAATAGAGTAAGACCTTTTGAAGTGTATTGAGCACTATAAATGAACATTTGCATTGCTGTAAAAAAGCAAACAAGTTGTAAATACTAACCTTTGTAGCAATTGCTATTTATTTGCATAGCTTATTTATTATGTTCTTTTTACATTGTTGGGAACAAAGGCACTCTCAAGATAAAAAGAAAAGGCTACTTACATCTTTGCTGTGCAGGTTTGGATAATTGTGATGGCAGCATAAGATAAAGCTGCTGCTGCTGCTGCTGCTAGCAGTTGCTTGCAGCCCTGATATGGTTAGTTTAGTTTTTCCCATTTTATTCTCTCCAGAGCATTGTGTTTCAATCTGCATTAAAATTAACAGGAAGATTGTCCAAGCTAAGGTTATTTGCCTAACACTTCTCAGGGACACACTTGTACTTACTTAGCATTATTAGAACTGGCACATATAAAATACTCTGGTTTAACAAGAATACAGTTGACAAGGGAGCCCTTTACATGTTTAATTGTGTTGATTTCTGTCTATTTCATTGTTTTGCATATTTATGAGAGCTAGCAAGCAATAATTTGTATGTCAGAATAATAACAAGCAATACAAAAATAAAACTTGTAAAAGCAAAATGTTATACTTAAAACTTTTTTTGATATGCTTTTCAAAATACAAATGATATTAATAAATTATGTCTCTGTGAGTCTTTGCTTAACTTGTCTACCATAAAGGGATGTTTCACAGCATGTACTTGTGCTGTCCCACATCTAATTTAAATAATCATGATGTCCCTGGATGATCTTAGGCAACCCATTGCTCTTCAGTTTTACCCCACCTAGATTCAGACAGTATGGAGGAATAATGTTAATCTAAAAAATTAAGGTCCGCAGTATAACAATTATGACAAGGGTGCACAAATCATACAGAGAAAGTCTTCTGCTGTTAAGAATACAGTCCATAGCATATTATCCATTTGCAGCCTTATAAAAACCCTCTGTATTTCAAATTGTCAAGAGCACACACCGGACCTACATTAAAGTAATTGGCATCTAATCATACAAGCAATGAGATAATTCTTTGCTCACTTGACAAATATGCAGGAAAGTCTTTGTACATTATAGTATAATCTGATGCTTATTAATGAACAAAATAATTGACAAGGAAATTTACTTTCTTTGGGGAGTAATTCATAGGCTTATCAAGCAGACTGAAAATTTTCAAATATTTGTAATTAAAGGGATGGGGGCAGATACTGTGGAAAACCTCTGCCTGTTACCTTAGAATTAGCAGGATATGGCTGGAGGGACTAGTAAGGCAGCTTCTATATTTCAGGTCATTTATTGTGGTCCAAGTAAAATTTCTTCCATTGACATGGGATGTATGTGTGTCATTTGATCAGAAATGTTTCTGATGTTCATACAGTACATCAAGTACAGCTTAACTGTGATTTCAGTAGATACGTCCATGTTAATTTCTTGGCAATGATTTGCCTTTGTTTTCTAGAATATTTGTTCAAGTTCCCTGCTGAATCTATAATCCTGTGCTTCCATCAAAATACTGAATAGGTTGGACCCTACTTAGCATTTACATTGGCAAATTTCACTTTAATGAATTCTTCTTGTGCCATATCCATTATCGGATGTTGGCGATCATGTTGGCGATCCTGTTTTTATCAGCAGCCGCACGAAAAAGTGCTGCTGAGTTTTGTCCAAACTTTAATGAATGATGCAATTAAATCCTGCCATTTCAGATCACCCGCATTTACCAATTATCACTCTCTTCCCATCAGTGGTGGGATTCAGCCGATTTGCACCACTTCAGCAGAACCGGTAGTTAATTTTTTATTGCCCAGGCCCAGAATGGATTTCCAGAAGTGGCATCCACCCAGAGAACCGGTTGTTCACATATTTGAATCCCACCACTGCTTCCCATCATTTCAAAGAACAATGCTTCTCCTCCACTTTAGCTGCCTTAGTAGAATCCAATTATGGATAGGAATACAGGGGGAAATTCCTGATTGCAAAAATAAGGCACATTTGCTAATTGCAGCATCATAGCTTTCAAGAAACTTTTAACATGTAATGGAATAATAATGTTTCCCAAGTTTGGAATTTTCTCCTCATAATGACCATTCAATCAAAAAAGCAGAACAGGGTTTAAAAATGTAGAATGGGGGCAGGGAGGACATCAGTAGAGAGAAAGTGACATAAACTATAGTAGTGAAACATTGAGTGGATTGCATTTTTGTTCATCTGGATGCAATCACAAGTTGGGTCATGGCATACTTTGAGTTCCATTTGTATCCAGAAGATACATAATCATAGGACAGTTTGGAAAAAAAAAATAAGATAGCTTACAGGGGGGTCCTATTGTGTAGTTGTTAAGTGATTTTTGTCCCATTTTATTATCTTTCTTGCCATAATTGTTAAGTGAATCACTGCAGTTATTTAGTAACATGGTTGTTAAATGAATCTCGCTCCTCTTGACTTTGCTTGTCAGAAGGTCACCAAATGTGATCACATGACCCCGGGACACAGCAACCATCATAAATCTGAGTCAGCTGCCAAGAGTCTGAATTTTGATCCTGTGACTATGGGGATGCTGCAACAACCCTCATAAATGTGGAAAATGGTCATAAGTCACTTTTTTTTAGTGCTGTTGTAACTTTGAACAGTCACTAAACGAACTGTTATAAGTGGAGAATTACTTGTATATTATGTATCTTGCTATATTTTAATCAGCAGGTGATTTTGTGGTAGGCAGATTAAAAAATGCAATAGAATGATAATGAAAGCCAGCTGGTGACCTTGGGCCAACATTCTCTCCAGGCCCAACTCACCTCACAGTGAGGGTTCTTGTGAGGAAAATAGGACAAAGAAGGAATATTAGGTATGTTAAGAATCAGAGAAATAGAAACTGGATGTTTACCCCTTAAGTGACTTTTGAAAGTTGACCATCCTAACATTTGGAGCTTTAAAGAGCAGATGAAAATATCAACCATAACAAGAATTAGAGAAGAATTATATTTCCTTATTAGGCTCAGTCTTTGCATCCTGGGTGTTTTCAGACAGAGTAACCTTCACGTTGATTTCCAGCTACTTCCTATTTTACTCCTGCTATGTTTGCTTGCTGAAAGATTATGAAAAAGCAGTAATTCAACACAATGGGACATGATGGCATTTGTTCTTCATATAAAATTTCCTCAGTAAGACTGGGGTGAAACTCCCCCTGCCTCCCTCAAGCTTTCTCTGGAGATTTCCCTTTGTCCAAAGTAAGAGATTTTTCAACGCAATTTTTCTTTTCTGAACACCATCTTATAGTTCTCCAACACTGCAGACATGAGCGACATCTAGTGTATGAAAGCAAAATCTTCACGATTGCTTTAAACTAGGGGTAGGCAACCTCGGCTCTTTTATGATTCATGGACTTCAACTCCCAGAATTCTGGGACTTGAAGTCCATGAGTCATAAAAGAACCGAGGTTGCCTACCCCTGCTTTAAAATGTGTGAATTCCTAGGAAGAGCACATTCTGTGGTCTTTAATGAATGAAATGGGCCTGCTCTAACTTGTTTGAATAAGCAAGTGGAGTGGCGGTGCAGGAAGACCATTGTCATTGTGAGGAGTTAGTGACATTTTGATTTCTCCTTCATATTAAGAAAAGTCTATTAGTTCAGAGCCTATTCTGAGCTAGCCTGCTTGTTTTCCACTCTTACTTTCTGAACAAAGGAGAAGGGATGGGTGAATCTTCACATAGCTTCAAAGCTGTGAAAGTCTCAAACTTTTGATTCCCATCCCAGAGTCATTTGCTAGGTAGTCAAGGTCAGGTCTTGCAGTCTCCCAACCATAGCAGAGCCATGAAGTCATAGTGTCAGGTTTTGATAAAAACCTTAAGTGCTGTGTGGTTTATGGGAAGCTTCTGCACAGAACTTGGCATTAGGTACTGTGGAAATTGCCTGTCCATGGGTTATTTCTGCCCTTATTAAGGAACTCCTGGCAACTTACCAGAGATTTGGGTCTCATTTTGCTTGCTATATGTGCTTTTTATGTTATGCTTTTAACTCTTGTTTAATGAGCTAATAATAAAACTTAAAATCCCTTTATTTACTGGTGTGATTATTGTTGCTGGATCCAAAAGAAACAATTGCCTGGTGACCTGATCATTGCCCTGATACCTGGCAAGATAGGAACTAAATGGGAATGATCAGCTAAGCCTTTTTTCCTGCATGGTTTCCATTAGGTTTATTTTTCCATCTTGATGACAGTAGTGCACATTGATGCAGTTTAGAAGCTAATGGGAAAAGACACTGTCATTCTGATATGGCTCACAAAAGTTAGTCTTCAACTCAACTGAGGTTTGCTGCATTGCGAAAAATTACTCCAGGCCATATATAAAAGTGAGAGTTGCAACCATTAGATTGATATGCTGTCATCTGATATCAATATAATATTCCGACAGATCATTTTTGTATGCCGATTGTCCCATTTGAGTTTAGTTTCTGGATTGTAATTAAAATACTTTTTTGCTGATGTACAGCAGAAGCCAAGGATAAAAAGTATTCTGGGAGGCTAGGAATAACAGTCTCACTTTTTGTCTTCTGGTGAGTTGCTGTACTGAAACTGTCTTTGCCCATTGTAGCAACATTTTTGTGAACAGAAAAATTCCATTATGTCAGACATTGAAGCCCCTTCCCTATGGAAGCCCTTCCCCATTAAATCTGGCATGCCCCCAACTATTTATTTATCAAATGTATATAGCCACCTATCTTACCAAAGGTGATTCTGGGTTGTGTATAAGAATAAAGGAAACTGTCCATAAAACATTTAAGGCCTGGTTTTACCCAAAGGGGTAGGATCAGTGGTGGGATTCAGCTGGTTCGGACCGGTTCTGTAGAACCGGTAGCTAATTTCAGAGAACCGATTGACGTGTTACAGAAATGCCACCCCCTCCTGCCCCTGATCAGACCCTTGTGACATCTTCTTTCCAGCTCCGACGTGGTCCTCCGTCACTTCCTCCGCTGCCGTGAGCAGTCCCACAATCAAAAGAAGTTTATGGGACTAAAAAAAAAGTTCAATCAATCAGTTCCAACTACGCGAAATTTTTTTTTTTCACAATAAGTTGGATTTGATTGATTTAACTTTTTTTTTTTAGTCCCCAAAACTTTTGTTTCTGGGACTGCACATGGTGGCAGACAAAGTGACCAAGAAGCTGGAAAGAAGGTTAGAAAAGAAATAGTTTGGGAAGTGAGGGTACCTGGGTGGTGGTGGGTAGGGCAAGATCTCCAACTCCGCAGCAGCAGAGAAAGCTTTCCAGCTCTGGCGCTCTAACTGCCGATTTGGTGGCTGTGTGGGCAGAGCTGTGAAGAGGGCTTGGAAGGGGAGTGAAAGGGAAGAGGATGGGTGGGCAGGTGAAGGGGGATCTGCCAAAGCCATCTGGAAGAGAAGACAAAAAGCAGCTCCTGCCTTGCCTGCCGCCAGCAGTTCAGAGAAGCCGTCTCTGAGCTGGCTGGCCTGCCGGCCAACAGTTGAGGAGGCGCTGCAGTGAGTCGTGCCCAGGAAAAGAAGAGCATATGAGGCTGAGATGGGTGGGGGAAGCAGCCATGCTAGGATGTATCCAACCACGTGGGACTTTGGTGAGTTAGTGGGCAGCTGGTTGAAGAGAGGGACAGTCGTGGTTCTGTCTGCTTTATTA